GTTCGCGTCGCCGGCGGCCGCACGACGCACACGTTGATGCTGCCGCTGCGGATGAGATGAACACGGTGTCTCGGGGCGGCGAGCGAGGCGGAGCTCGCCAAGCAGTTCGCGGGCCCGCCCCGTGGCACGTGCCGCGGAGCTGGCCGAGACTCGCAAGTTCGTTCACCGCTCCGTGTTAGCCGATATAACGAGAATGAACGTTGCAATCCGAGAGTGATGTAACGCGCTCTCAAGAGTAAAGACAGTGAGCATGACCGACCTTAGAGCCTAAGAGCCACCGCGGAAATAGATTTTAGGCTCGAATCGGACCGAAGCATCACACAAAGACGGCAACTTCGGACGACCCGCTGTCTCGGGCACGGTACATGAGTCAGGCCACGTGCCTCATCACGTGCGCCAGTTGTTTGCCATTCAATTCTGTGCATCGGTTGTGTTTTGGCACAGGTTGCATATTGATCTGCTCGTGGTTGAGAGGTAGTCCTTTTTTTTGTTGCCGGTGCTTTGTTGGGTGCGATGAATGTTACTGTTAGAGGTGTTGACCGCAGGCACCGCTCGGTGTCCTTGGCTCCAGTCACCAGTGACTACTAAGGGAGTCGATCCGCACGCCGTGCTGCCAACATCACGGCCGGCGTCCTGCTCGGCGCGGTCCGGAGAACGCCGGTGAGAACACACTCATCCCGGATCCGCGCGCGCAAATGACGCTCCGCGTGCCGACGTTGCCATGGTGCCCGTCGGCCGTCGCGGTGTCGCCGGCGGCCCCACGACGCACACGCTGATGCTGCCGCTGCGGATGGGATGCACGGAGTGTTTCTGGGCCGGGGACGCGTCCCGGGCCCCCGGCTTGCGAGCGAGAGGAGCGCGCGGGGGCCCGGCGACAGGCGAGCGAGGCGGAGCTCGCCGAGCAGTCCGTGGTGTGTGCCCGCCCCCTGGCACGTGCCGCCGCGCGCTCCCCGCTATCAACCAATATGCCTGCACGGGAATAGGGAGCCTGCTCGATAACTATGCCGCGCTTGTCCGGCCAGAAGGTCACCTGCCAAGAAGCCCTTGAAAACGGATTTTACACTCAAATCAGGCCTGGGCCGACCCGGAGGCCGCACCCAAATAAGGCACTTCCCAGCCTGAGAGGACCCGCTTTGTCGGGCACGGTACATGAGTCGGGGCAAGTGCTTCATCAGCGGCCACACGAAATATGTGTTCTTTGGCACTGACGCGGTGTTGCCATCCCCTTTGCCGGGGGTTTGCCCTTGGTTGAATATCCCAGATTTTTGCTCTCATAAATGTTATGAGATGGGCGCTGATGGCGCCGAGCAAGGCGGAGCTGGCCGAGAACTTCGCGCCTGTGTACCCAGCCCCGGGCCCGAGCGCTCCGTGCGATGGACTGCACTAGTGCACTGTAATATGTGGGAACTTGGGATTCGATATCCACTAATACAGCAAGAAGAGAGGATCTAGACGTACACCAAGAGCAATATTTTATACTAAACGTCCTGCTCGGGCTCAGCGAACCGGCGGCGCAGCGCCGCGGGCACGACCCGGCTCTTCCTCCGCTTTCTTGCGGAGCATCGCCGTGAAGTTGTCCTCCCCGCGGAACCGCCGCCGGCCGAGGATGCACGACGTCCCCGCGCGGGCCGGACACCAGCTCCCGCCCGCGCCGTCGGGCCCCGGGTTGCCGTTGACGCCCTGCACAGAGATTAGGGGTAGGAAACGAGGAGGAAAAGGACGCACAGAGTAGGTGCACCACTCGTTGTAGTAGTAGCACGCCGTGTCCCCGCCACGCGTCAGCGCCATTCGCGCCAGCAGGACGCCGTCCTTGTTCTTCGTCGCACAGAGGAAGACACACGGCGCCGGACTGGGGCCCTCCTCGGCGACTAGCCCAGTACACTTGCTGTGTGAGACGATCGGGAGCAGCGCGCCGTCGGACTAGGTCACTCGTTAGAACACTTTCGAATGGCCAGTGAGGAGAGGAGACACACGTTGCGGAAAGCGCAGCTGATCTGCTCCCCGTCGATGTCTGTGCGCCTCCGGCCGGTGCACACCAGCCGGCCGACGGTGCGGTCGGCGATGTCGATGGCCTGGACGTCGTCCGCGGCGACGGCGAGCCCCGCGGGACAGTGGACGCGCGGGCGGTAGTACGTCACGAACGCCGGCGAGGGTGCGGGCGGCGGCGGGGCGGGGTCTGCGACAAGGAAGCCGGCGCTGACGCTTGTCACGACAAAAAGCGGGATGAGGACCGAGGAGAGCATGGATGAGGCGGCGGAGGTGGATGCAAGTTAGCGAAAACGAGGCCGGCTTTTAACGGCGAGCCTCTTGCTGGCGGTCGATCGAGGAGGACGAAAATTGGTGTGGTCAGGGGCGTGCCTGTCGGACCTATTTTGCTTTGTGCAACTGAATGCTCGCGTGGTGGAGCGGCGCCGCCACCGTTGCCTGAGTCGGGCGTGCGACGCCGTGGGAAGAGGGGGAAGAGGGATTGGCGTCATGACGTGGGGCCATGTGCGTTGGCAGTCGTCGCTCCTTGTGTCGCGACTCGCAGGAGACCGCGGAATCCGTGCTATCCAGATCGCATTAACCCACCATGCGTACGAAATCCATCTTCGAGCTGTTGGCCAGTGCCGCCAGAGTGAATCGCAACTTCAAGTTGCCCCTCCTCCACCGGTGAGACAAGCTGGCGCCTTCCTCCTCTCCCAGCTGCAGCCCCCTGGAGTGGATCCACTAGCACCGCTTTGCGAGACGTCGTACACTTGGCGAGGTGTCCGAGTTGACGGTCGGCGGATAAGAGTGCTCGTCGGAAGAAGCCTGGACGCAGCTCGCGACGAAGACGGCGGTCGTCACAAGAGAACGAGCCCTCGTCAGCCCCGCCATATCACCCGTACGCGTGTGAGCCGGGGACCAAGCGCCACACGTACGCCGAGGGATACGCGCCGAGCGTCCGGTCTCCGTGACTCCGTCATGATTTTTGCTCAGGGGACCGTAGATACCCTGAGTAAGCGTGCATAAGCAGAGTCCTCATCGTCACCGAGCGCGCCACGCACCTGTTGAAGTATCGGGTAGCGAACCCGAGTCTCACCGGCCGGATCACGTCAGCCGCCGGACCGCCATCACCGACGCCGATGCGTCGGGATTGTTCTACAATATTCTATTGACTCATTAGCTAGAACCTACCAGAAAGATTAGAGTACTATAAGTACTGCTGTATCACTCTACAATAATCATTGGTTTTTCCTTTCTTCCTTCAACAGGTTATGGGCCCCGCCTAGCCTGAACTGTTAACACACGCACCAATCCTCGCCTGCATCATCCTCCCACTCCGCGGAACTCTCACGCTATGACGCACACTCTCACGCCTCTCATCAGCGCCAGCGCATCAGCACTCTTGCTGCCTAGCTACACCCCGGAGACAGCCCAACGAGCGCCTTTGGGACGGACCGGACAGCGAGTACACAGCACCCCCACGCCGGATGACCCCACGGCATCGCCAGCGCGTACCGCCTCACCGCACAGCCATCGGCCCGGGACCACCCGCGATGCGCTCCACTCTCTTGGCAACAACTCCCACGCACACTCGGACGGCAGCACTGCGCCGTCGCCAGCAGTCAGCGGCTCGGGACCGCCTCCACACTTCCGGCCGGATGCTCGTCTCGACACGGCATCGCCCGCGCCCAACTCCTCGCATCAGCATACCAGCGGACTCAGCGCCAACGCCGCCAGTCGCCAGCTCACCTGTCACCATTGCGGTCGGCCCGGCCATTGGGATTCCCAGTGCCGCGACACGCACATCGCCTATACGGCCCAACAAAGATCAGCGAATTATCACCGCACGGTCCGCCACCGGCGTCGACGCTGGAATCCATCACCGGCTCGAGAATCCTCGCCGGACACCGCCCTAATGGCCAGCGGGCAGCAGCCAACGCTGACCCGGAGCTCCTGGCTGCTCGACAGCGGAGCCACCACCCACATCGTCAACAATAAAGCACTTTTCCACACATATATGCCGCTACAAAGCCATTATGTAGTCGGAATTGGTAAGCTTCCAGCACTGGGGGAAGGAACAGTACGACTGCAATTCAAAATTGGGTCTAAGGTAAACAAGGTCACACTCCTCCGCGTCCTCTACCTTCCAGCTTCACCCCACAACATCATCTCACTCGGACGACTCCACCGCGCAGGCTATCGCCTCGAATTCCCCGATGGCAGCGGCGACATCATCATCGCCAAGAATGGGCATCGGCTAGCCCACTGCCGGAACATCGGAAACGTCTACGCCCTTGGCAACATCACCCCAAACTGGACGACTGCCACACCAGACAGCGACGACGAGGATTACAATTGGCAACCGGCTGTACCAACAGCACCACGGCAGGACCAGGGGGAGCAAATCACCCCAGTCAATGGCAAGCCCGGCATGGCCCCCGAGGCTATGGCCACGGCCCATTCGACACCACCGCGTAGCAACGCGCTGATCCCGACCACGCCGCCATCACCTCTAAGTTCTCTCACCCCATCTCCACCTACGTCAACTCATGCACGTCCGGAGCAACGCGCACAGCCAGCGAAAGCCCCGCGAGACATCAGTAGCCAAATCACCACCGACAATATTATACTCGGGCCACGCACAAAGAAATATGCGAAGCCCGGAGCAGCACTTGTCACTACCGAAGACGCCACTTACTTCGGCGGCCTTGCGATTGAAGCGCTGTCAGCGCAATAACTCTCTCACGAGAGGCAGTTCCCATCTGCGAAATACGGACACCCCAACTCAGCTCGACTCGTGTTCGAGGGGGAGTGTTGAAGTATCGGGTAGCGAACCCGAGTCTCACCGGCCGGATCACGTCAGCCGCCGGACCGCCATCACCGACGCCGATGCGTCGGGATTGTTCTACAATATTCTATTGACTCATTAGCTAGAACCTACCAGAAAGATTAGAGTACTATAAGTACTGCTGTATCACTCTACAATAATCATTGGTTTTTCCTTTCTTCCTTCAACAGCACCTGCAGTCCCCATGCCCCGACCTGGGATTGAACACGACGCAGAGAATCGCTCATCGACGTCAAGACGAAAAGACATTCGCGTGACGTAAGCGCGCCACGTCACGGTCCTTGGCACTTGCCTCCTCCTCCCATCTCGCTGCTCTGCTGCGCTATCGTACCGTCTGCAACGCGTGGAGCGGCGTGGCCGACAGCGGCTTCCCGGCCATATCCCGCTGGCGTCGGGTACCGGCGACGCCTTCCTCACTTGCCGTTTGCGTGTGTGTCGCGCGACGCGCGGACGGGCTGGCGACTGCGAACTGCGACTGCGCAAACGTCGCCAACCCTCGCATCTACGAGGACAGACAGAGAAGGGCCGGGCAGTGCGCAGGGTGTACGGCCAATCGGGCGGTCGGCCACAGGCCAGTGCGTCAAAGCGCCCCATCCCTCCGTCTGTTCTCACTCGCCACAATCCAGCGCTCTTGTCCTTCCTCCATTCCCCAATTGTGCTCGTCCTCTTTCCCCATATTCTATTCCCCTATTGCCAATTCCGCACCCAGCTATATTCGTTGTACTTGCCTTTCTTCTCGGGAAGGGGCAGGATACTTGTACACCATGTACTCATGTACGGACTTTCGCAGCCGACTCAACCGGCAACACTACATCTTTGTCGCAGGTTCTGACACCGGACGGAGCTGGGATGGATACGCCGGCGCCCGGGGGATGGATCATGGCGGAGAAGACAGAGGGAGCTAGTGGACGGTGCGCCGTGTACAAGCTGTGTATTGGTTTCCTCACTGTCAAACGATCCAGGCTATTCACTACTCTGCCCTTAACACCTGGCCCGACAGCAGCCGGATGCCAGTGGCAACGGGCGGCACGAGCTCGTGCCTGCGGAACTCGAGGTCGGGGGCGCCGCCGACTGTGCACCGTTCGCGGAACACGGCCTGTCGCGGAAGTCAGTTCTGTCTCAGCCACGCATCCCAGCGCACCCATTTGACGAACGACTCCGGCGACATCGCCGCCGCGGCATCGCTCAGCGGCAGCCGCAGCGCGCGGCGGCCCGCATCCTCCGCGAGGAGCGCCAACCCGCGCTCCAGCGCAAAGCCCACCACGGCGAGCGGCTGCTGCTCAAGCCGGTCCCTGAATTGCATCATAAAAAAAATGCCCACGGCAACCCTCGGCCCTTACCTCATCTCGCTCTGCAGCGGCGCTACCACCGCCTGCACGTCGTACTTCTGCACCGCGTCCGCGAGGCCCGCGAGGTCCGCGAACGGGACGTCCGCGAGGGGCACTTGCGGCGTCTGGGGGTACACATACTGCAGCAGCAGCCTCAGCAGCGCCGAGTGCGCCGCGAGCAGCTGGCGGTGCACGGCGTAGCGCGTGCCGTCGCTGGAGAAGAGCGTCACGTCGCCGCCGGGCGCGAAGGCTGGCCGCGGCGATGGCGCGCGATCAGCGTCGGGCGGTGTCCTAAGGGCGGCGGGGGACGTACCGTGGGGAATGGGAGTCGGGGCTGCTGCCATCGCCTCGGATAGTGGGGGGAAGAAAGCAGGGAATACCATCAGACACGAGGCAGAAGGGACAGGGGGAATAAATAGGTTGCCGCGCGCGCCCGATGGGCCCGGACCCCGGGCCGTGCCTAGTGTAATATTTGAAACAATAGCATTTTGATACTTCTTTCTGCGGAGAAGAATGAATTTGAACAAATAGCTGTATTTCAAGGAAATTTCTCATAAACAACCCAAATTGTCAATTAAAAGTTTGTCCCCTCAGAGACACATCCGATTCCGGTCCGATTCCGAAGGCATCTCCGCCCTCCTAATGGTCACCCTCGCCTGCGACGCCGCTCAAGCCTTCTGTGCCTGACAGCAGCAGCTACGGACAAGCAGTATATAGTCAGCTACCTATCAGGCGGACCCTCAGAGTTTCTTCTCTTTAGATCCTCCCCTGCTAGGGCCTTGATCTCAGGCCTCCGGGGTTGCCCTTACAAAGTTCAGCTTCCTTATACAGATTTGTATACCTTTCTCTTTGTAGCAGAAAGGACACCTTTTGGTTTTCTTTTTCACCTGTCATACAAGGACAAAGATCATCTTTCAGGAAAAGTGAGGAGGAGGATGTTTTCTTGCCACTTCCATGCAAGCAGAAGGCAAATCTTTCTCTTTTCATCTACTGTTAGAGGTGTATAGAAAGAAGCCCTTTTTTGAAAAGTTAAAACTATATTCTTTTGTACAACAAATAGGCAATGGCACGGGTAGGCCATACCCGCACGGGTACGCGGGTTTTACCCGCACGAGTACGGGTACGGGTCAGCGCCACCCTTACCTGTGGCTTGATGACTCAGCTGGTTCCCCTTGTGCTTGCCGCTCCAAAGGTTCTGTGTTCAATTCTGTATTTGTTGTTTATTTTTGCTGGCATCCTATGGACACTAATTACAGTCTTGTTGACATGCCTTCTTGACTAGCTGCCCCTCCTGCGGGTAAACCCATACCCGTACCCGCGGGTATGGGTACTGTGGCTGTGCGGGTCATGGTACGGGTAGGCCCTCGGATACCCGTGCCATTCCCTAACAACAAACACACCCAAATATCAACAACTCATTTATAAAAAGAGTAAATGGATCCTTTATATTCCACAGAAAGGGGGCATAATGCATTCAAAGATATATGAAAACCTCAGCTTTTAAATGCCTTGTCTGTCATCCCCTCAAGGACATTAAAAATCTGAATAAAGAATAGACATTTCTAATATATATAATATATATATTATAATATAATATTATATTTATCAGCCTATTTACAACAAAATCATCAGGTCTATATTTCAATATAGTAAATGTTGTTATGAATACAGGAAATCATACTGTACTAAGTATTTTACTTGATTCAAATGCTATTTTGGGTGTGACATTGCATACAAAAATTTGAATTTGTATGATTTCCTTATTTGGAAGTCCTTGGCGTGCCAGAAAATGTGCAAAATTACCGCTTTAGGGCATGAAATTCTCAAAAGCTGTGACATGTGAAAAAATTTCATATAATATCATGGGTGTGACAGGTGATATTTGAAATAAGTAAAATACTATAGTAAGGTATGTATGATTTGAGAGGATTGTTTGGCCTCTACAGTGTACTAGCAGAGTTGTGTGGTTTATGTTATGTCTACTAACTTTTTTAGGTTGAAAGTTAGTAGGGATCATCACAATGAATGTCCTATATATATACTAATGTAGAGTCTATATAGTCCTATATATCTAGCTAAAGTAGTTATGATTATTGATATCCATATTCATAACAACATTCACCAAATTGAAATATAGATAAGTCCATAGACAGCAATATTATACACCATTAGCCTATATCTTATTAAGGAGTACATATATGCATTCGATTACTTTGGACTAGAATGCCTCTCTCTATAAGTTAAATTTGATGATTCCAGATCATTAGACCAAAATATCATATCTTCTTTATTGCCGTTTTCAAAATAGTTGGCACCGCGGGTTCGAACACAACTTTTGCCATTTTTTGGACCCCGCAGTAATTATTTTATTTCTCCATGAATTCTCAACATAAAAAGAAAATTTAATAATCTAAAATCATCGTTTTAATGGGGCAATTTTATCGATCAACTTCGGCCATAAAACTACCATATATGGACATTTGCTCATCAACCTGCACATAGCTTGATTGTGTCAATTTCTATGGGCAAAATAAAATACCTTGACCATATATTCGACTATGCAAGGACTTGGCACATATACATCATGTGCCCGCCTGAATATCGGCCCCAACGACCCGATTTGAGCGAGAACAAGCAGTGACATTGATCTACCGCCCACGGAGTCTGACGATGGTCCAATAGCAAAGCGGCCTCGTGGGACGTCCACCGAAGCTCCCTGCCACGGCTACTACCCGGTCTCGTTCCCCACTCGCCTCTCTGGCCCCCAAGGCAGCATCTCCGCGTCTTTGGACGCGCTCTCGCGTCTCCACGACAAGCTCAAGCGACGATGTCGTCCCCAACCTCCAATCTGACTCAGGTTCCTCGCGTTCCTTTTCCGGCGACCCTCCTGAAGCCGCCGTGAATGCTATCACTGGAATACTGGGGCGGAATTCTTCACCAAGCGATGGAGCGGTGGAGGGAGACGTGGACTATGTGCTGGTGGAAGATGAGGATGAAGAGGAACGCGAGAACGCGAGGGCTTCCCCCAAGTCGACTGCTGTGAAGAAAACCGTTCTGAGGGCCGGGAAACTCGCGTCGAAGGGTGCCAACAGAGACAAGGCAGGGAAACAGAGCAAAGATAGAGCCCCGACGATAGAAATTGCTGATTCTGATGAGGAGAATGCGGAGAACACGGATGAATCTGACGGAGGAGAGGAGGAAGAAGGTGAGTGGTATTTTGACCGAGCGCCGACATCAGCAAAACTCCATCCGCCTGGAGTGGTTGGCAAGCCTGGCAAATGTCATGCAAATTCTGGCACCAATCTGGCACGGCTGGGCCATAGCTGGCTTGGCTGTGATGGCTGGTGCCAGAAGTTGATGCAATCTGCCAGTATTTAGGCAGCGAAAATCTTCTAAGTCCAGCATCACTGCATCAGCCATGTGATGATGCCACGTTACCTGGTGACGATTTGACAGGTGGCGCGATTTTGTCGCTTTTTCTTTCCTCCCACCACCTTCCCCCCCAGTTTTCTCTCACTCGCACCCCTGCGTAAGTCACCTCTTGCGCGCATTCCTTCTTACCCATACACAGACTGCAACAATACAGCGATTCCTGGCCACTGACTCATGATACACGATATGGCAGGCCCTGGGTGCATGTATGTCCAGTCTCCCCTTCATTTACCTTGCGCTGACATATCCAGTAGCGCTGTCTTCATCCGCCAGTCCACCTCCGCCTCCACCTCCGCCTCCGCCCCCAGCGAAAGGCGTGTGCTCGAGCCGGCGCAGCTTGTGGGCACCAGGGGTAGCGTCGATTGGGCCAGGAATGCCGCATGCATTGGTGCGTTCCTCCCATTTTCCCTCCTCCTCCCTGTTCTCATCCGTCCTCGCAGTGCTTGGCTTCTTGGTAAGGAGCAGATGTCCTGCTCTCCGGCGTCATGGCTGGACTGTGGGCGGTGGCAGCAAGGTAACAGGCCACTCCCTTGGTGCGACGCTCTCTCATCGCTCACCGGTGCCTCGATCCAGACCACGTTGACGGCCTCCCCCGACCTGGCACTCTCTGCGATCCTGGTTCAGGCGGCTGCGCGGAGGCAACCCCGCCTTCGCGTCACCTTTAGTTTTTCGTAGATAGAATGATTTGTATAATATTGCAATATTATGGTTTCTTTTCTAATTCAAGTGATTTTGGGTGTAGTTGGAAGAGTGCTAGAACTGTCCTGGATAAACTCTGGGAAGATTCTGGCGCCAGAATCAATTCTGGAGCTGGCTATGTCATTAATGGAGACAGGCCGGTTCTGGCGGCCTGTCAGGTCTGGGAGTGGCCTGGGCGCCTTGGTGCCAGGCCGCCCAGGCGGATTGAGTTTTCCTGATGGACCATACTGACTATCTATGGCTCCTAGACGAACTACTCACATTTCTTGTACCGGATGGAGCGGCTGTTTCTGAGCTGAAGATCCTGTCGTCAACTCCGCACGCCGAATTCCTCCAAAAAGTCGCTGACGAGATGGACGTTCGCAAGAGTAATCTGGAGATTGGCTACAAGCTTAGTACAACCGCCGCAAAGAACCCTCCCATTCGGTTGAAGACCAACAGCCCCGACAGCTTCCTGGGCATGATTACAGCTGCCCTTACCGCTCTCAAACAATGGCGCAAGTCCCAAACAACGCCAAAGAAGGATTTCACTATCAACATCATCGATTTGCGTGACAAGGCGAAGGAATCAGGCAAGAAGAGGAAAGGGAAGAAGGGTGGAACCGGGAAGAAGGTCTGTGTTGCTATATCGCCGACCATCTCGTATTCATCTTCCATATAGGCATCTGCTGGTGCAACGAGTGATGATGACAATGACCTGGAGGTGCCGGAAGGTGGCGTGAAGAAGAAAACACGTGCACAGCATGTCGCTGAACTTTCGCTGCAACGCAAGTGTGAATCGCATGGTGGATGGTGTGTGTCGGTGGGGGAGAGTCGTCAGCACGTTGCGTTGTCGCATAAAGACCTTGGGAAGTGGGGAACAATCATGGTGTGTCCCACCCACATCCACTCAGTCCGGGCTAATCATTTACTACAGTATGAGACAGAGTACAAGTCCTATGTTACTCCGCCACCAGAGCTCGGTCTCGGACTTCCCCCACCTCCGCCATCTCGCATGAATGCAAGAACGTGTGACGGTTCGGGTCGGGCCGTCGGGCCCTATACGGCCCAACGGGCCCTCACCACCCTTAGAGCCCTAGGGCTTGACAAGCCCTCATATATTCACAAGCTCAAAGCACTGAGCAACAACACTAATATCCCAGAGAAGGGACCTAATCACGGATCGCGCTCTAGTCAGCCATCAAGCCATCATGACCCGCCATCAGGGATCATGATGCGCCGCCGGACGCCCTTGACAGTGGGCCCAATCGGCCCCAGACAACCACAGGGATCAGGAGGGAGCTCCTTACTGTTGCATTGCCAAACACTCCTTAGTGTCGACTTTGGCATGGCTCCTTTCCAGAGGAATGGTCCCTGGGCTCCTAGCGGAGCGACCAGGGACGACCAGAGACATCCCCTGCTCCCTTCTGATCGACCCTCAGCGGGCCCGATCAGCCCCTAGCGCCCACAGTATATAAAGACTAGAGTATTACTCCTATACCTTAGGTTTAGCATTGAAGTCTCTTCCTTTGAACCCTACTCCGGCCTGGTCCCCTAGAGCGGAGTTGCTGCAACCATACCCCAGGAAAGGGGCGTCTAGACGACTTCCAACACCGCAGGCCAGCTTGCCTCATTGACCTGAGCCCTTGGTTGGGCTGGACAGCCCAGGCTCTTGTCTCTTATGTTCACCCTTGTCCTAGCCACTTCTTCTTGCTCTCTGGCCTCAAGCTCTGGGTTCCCCTGGTACGGGGGCGATGGGAGGGTGCGGGCCCGATCGGGCCCGCATGTCACGCGTCACACCGCGCCGTCACGCGGTGTCTAGGAGCCACAGCGACTCGTTCCTCCAGGAAAGGAGATATGTCGCCCCTTGGACTGGCAACCCTTCTCAAGCGCTCCAGGGGTCTCGGGCCCGCAGCCCCTGCTGCGGGGCGACTCCCCTCGACCCCTGAACCGTCGGGCGTGACCGCGTTACGTCACGCCCCGCCCGAACGGCTTGTTCAGCTGGCCCAGCCTATGTCTTGCCCTATGTCTTGGGCACCGACTCTACTAGGCAGCACTCTTTGGCTATGGACTCGTTCCCTTCAGCAGGGGTAGGACACTCTAGACGACTACTCGTATCCTGTGACACCGCTGTCACACAACGTGACAGCGGGGCGTCTCGAGTCGCCCGAGCTGTCCCTACCCTGCTCTATTGCAGTAGTGGCACCATCTACGCTGCCTGGTTGCCGACCACCCAGCTATGGGGGTTGAACCATCTTTCCCACACTTGTCAGACTGGCAGGAGACCGTCACGTGGGCCCGGGCCGGCCCTGTTCCTGACAGAACGGCTGTGCCGCCTTATGGCTATCCTCCTCCGGGTCCATATCCATACTATGGTGCACCATATGGAATCCCGCCACCCCCTCCACCACCTCCTCCTTCACTGCTGAACTCACCGCCACATGCTAAACAACTACCTACCCGAACGGCAAGCTTAGAAATGATGGACGATGAGATCGACTTCCCAGTGCTCTCAGAATGGCTTCCTGCGCAAGACACTCATGATGCCCGCTCGAAATACAACGCAAATCTTTCCGCACATGTCAGTAGCCTCAACGAACATGGTTATGTATTCTTGAACCAGCTGGAGATGGAGTCGGCAGATGGGCTGATGGATCTGTGCCCTGGTATGAAGAAGGGCACTGCTCGAACTGTGATGGTATGGGTGAAGAAGGACTGTGATACTGCTCGTAAATATTGGAAGGAGTTCCATGCACGTGAAATAGTTGTCGCTGCTTAGGTTTGTCGGTTAGGTTGCTCAATCCAATGTTTTGTACTAGCAACTGAGGTGCCAAGAAATGCATTGAGAGAACTAGAAATAACCAGAGTGTCTAAACCAGGCTGCCGCATCGTCAGGTGTGATGGAGTACACTGCATCATATAGCTTGAGAATTGCGACAACACGATCTGCTTCATTTTCCGTTGCCGCACGGAATGCATTGCCATATCGGCGCATGTATGCCTTCATTTTCGAGAACCCGAGCTCGATTGGATTGAAGTCCGGGGAGTAAGGCGGAAGATAAACACATTTCATGCCTCTACAATGAAGTGAGAATCATAAGAGATATTATAGCTGTCCCAACCGTTGTTCAATTAGGTCTCGAATCTGTTCAGCTTTGTGGATCCGACAGTTATCCATCACGACAACCGAGTTGGCAGCTGGGAATGGGTTCATTTGATCTAAGAGACCATCTAGAAACTCAATAAATGTCTCGGTCGTGAATGAGCCTTCGCGGATGTCTACTGATAGAATACCATCCAGTGACATGGCGGGTAGAACAGAAAATCTGCAGTTTATCCAATTAGCTCTTCAGTCTATTCTAGAAAGCGAACACACCGCTTTCCACGGACAAAGAATGCCTTTCGAACTGCTCGCTGACCACGAATTGCCCAGGCTTTCCCACGATATGTTGTCCGGTGGTCGCAAGAGCTTTCATCGACAAAAACCAGTTGATGGGCCTCGAAATGCTGTGAAATCTTGAGCGTATAACTTGCTCATTTGATGGCACAGCGCTCAATCGCCTGCCGTGTCAACTGAGCGTATCTGTTAGTAGCCGCCGCATGGGCAATAGATTCACCCTGGACTGCTACCTTTTTCATAGTATATCATTGGCGCTGAAGTGACCGCCATACAGTCGGGAGGGAGACAAATTCACCACAGACTTCTTGAAGCGCAACTTGAAGTTCGTCAAGGTATTGGTCACAGCTGTAGTCCAGGCAGCCAAGTAGAAACTACCAAAAATAAGTGAGATAGTCATTGAAAGAGCGTTGAAAGCCTAACAGAAACATGTCCACTTGTAAGGTGCCTTAGTCGACCACGTGTTTCAACTGCCTTGGCTGAGAGGACCCCACCAGTTGTACGGTACTAAGCAAGGATGCGTAGGGCTGTAGGCCGTCGCCGTATATTACGGCGTACGGCACGCCGTAATACGGCGCCGTAACCGTACCGTATGGCACCCTGGTGCGCAAGTGTACGGGACGGCGACGGGACGGCCGCGACGCCGTAATGACCGTCCCGTATACGGTGACGGTCGCCGTATACGGCAAAGGCTCGGCTAGCGCGCGATTTGATCCGGAGATCGTCGATCCGCCGGGTATCGGACCTCCGGATGCCCGTTGCTAGGGCCCAGCCGCTGTCGGTGGTCAGCCAACACGGCCTGGCTAGCCTCGGAGGCAGCCTAGCACTCCAGGCGGGCGCTTGGCACTGCCACCCGTCCCGGCCCGGTCGCTCGGAGGCACCTTTAGCCTAGGTCACACCCAGTGACCTAGCTGGCCGTCACCGTCACCGTAATACGGCGTGACGGCGCCGTCCCGTACCGTAAGCGCCTCGAGCTCGAGGGCTTACGGTACGGCGTTAGGGCCGTCCCGGCGCCGTCAGAGGCCGTACCGTACATGGCCGTAGCCGTATACGGTACGGTCTACAGCCCTAAGGATGCGTCGTATCTGACGCTTGCTGACTGTGGTGAAATCTACAATATCCTGGATGGGAAGGCGGTTGTACATCCGGACAATAGTCCAGGCCAACCTCTCAGGGATCGGAGTGCCCTTTCCCATGTCTGCTGTAGAGCACTGGAGGTAGAAGCAAAGAGCGGAGCGTGAGTGTCACATGTATGTAATACATCAATGTCACTGCTTGTTCTCGCTCAAATCGGGTCCGTTGGGGCCGATATTCAGGCGGGCACATGATGTATATGTGCCAAGTCCTTGCATAGTCGAATATATGGTCAAGGTATTTTATTTTGCCCATAGAAATTGACACAATCAAGCTATGTGCAGGTTGATGAGCAAATGTCCATATATGGTAGTTTTATGGCCGAAGTTGATCGATAAAATTGCCCCGTTAAAACGATGATTTTAGGTTATTAAATTTTCTTTTTATGTTGAGAATTCATGGAGAAATAAAATAATTACTGCGGGGTCCAAAAAATGGCAAAAGTTGTGTTCGAACCCGCGGTGCCAACTATTTTGAAAACGGCAATAATATTATGCATTTTCAATTTTTTCTTGTACATTTGAGATTATCTAGACAAACTGCAAAACTTTAATATTTCAATGTGCCATCAGATCGGAATGGTGGGTGGGAGGTCGGGCAATGTCAAGATCAATGCTTGGAAGAGGTTTGATAAGCAGAGGAAAGAACCACCAACTTTTGGTGGACTTGGCCTTCTAGCAAGCAGTCATGTCCACCAACTATGCGAGGAATCCTAAGAACACACTAGCCACTGGCCTAAACCCTTCTAGTGAGAGGCTAACCTCCTTAGCCTCTAATTAGAGGGGTATGGTAGGCATACCAGGTGGTTAAACCGTGGTTTCAGTTCCAGTTGGCAGTCTGTGCCTCTGTCTCAGGCCTGAATGAAGTATCATTGCTATTATTACCCATTTTATAGATAATAAGTAATTAATCACATCATAATAGGCCAGCAGTACTGTCCCATTTTGATTAAGTAGTCTTTCAAAATTTGGGACTAATTTTTTTATTTATTTGCGGTGATTTTTTCATACAGACTTTGTTGGTCAATGTAATGCATAACACGAACAGTTGACCCATACCCACATGACAGTACTAGTAATGCTTAGTAGAGAATTTTAAATTCATAATAGCACCAAGGGTTTATTTTACAGCTTGGAACTTGAAAAAAAATATTGATACAAGTTTGTACCAACAGACATAAATACTTAATATGCAGGTGTGTTGAAGCAGTTCAAGCACCCACAGGGTTTGTCAAAATCCAGCATAATCAAATCGCATTAGAATTTTTATGTTTTGACTGGTCCTCATAACATCCCGTACAAAATCTATGTTACGAAGTTGTGACAATACTTCCACTTCGGAGTTGATGAATGAGTGACGATTCAGAACCTAGACCTGCTCCCCTGCCAGTTGCTGCATTGCACACCAAGGCCCAACCATTTCCGGAATCACGGACCACTGTCCAGATACAACAGGGTCTTTCTGCGGCGTCGAGGAGTGGTCACGGATCGTATACGACAGCGCGATGCCTTTCCGTTTGATAACCAACAGGAATTTGGACGGACCCTGAGACAAGTCCCCGATGTTCGCTGCCCGCAGCGGTGATGCGATCTGCGAATGCGACGCAAGCGCGCCCGATGTCCTGCTCTTCAACATCGCGACGATGTCCTTCTCCGCTGCGGGGTCGTGACTCGGAAGGGCGAGCGCGAGGGTTTCCAGGCGCGGACAGGCATCGTCAGGCTTCGGCGGCGTGGAGAGCTGCAGGCCGCGGATGAAAGTGCGTCGTTGCGCGGGTCTGTCGAACCGAATATCAGGCCGGGTCGTGACGTCGAGATGCGCCAAGTGTGGTTGTGTGCGGACAATGGACAAGACGTTGGTGAGCATGGCTTCTTCGACCGTCAGCCGCAAACCATGAAGGGATGTGCATATCGAGCGCCAGAGCATTGACAGGTTACGAGTACTCGGCTCGAGGGTATTCTCAGACTTGAATGGCACATCGAGGACAAGATATTCGAGGTTGGGCATAGAGACACCGGAGAGCAGAGGATCGACTGGAATTGGCGACTCGATATAGAGCTGCTTTATTTCAAGCAGGGATGCGACGATTGTACCGAATCGAACGTGCTCAGGCTCGGGGTCGAAGGCGGAGGACTTTCTCTTTTTAGATGAAGAAGGTTGGGGCTCCGGGTCCGACACGACGACAAATGAGCACCGGTGAATGTTGACGACTAAGCACAGGATTTGTCGGAGGATATCGAGCGAGTAGGAACAGTGGAGGTCGGTGAGCTGGAACCAGGCAACAGGAAGTAGCGGTATGGAGGTGTGTAAGCAGAGCTTCCGCACTGTGCGGGAAAATTGATTCAAGGTACGGTCCTGGAATTGGAAACCTCGAGATCCCGCCGATGAAATTTCGAGAGCATCCAGTCGTGTCGGGGAGGTTTCCAGCACATTGAAGGGGTCCAAAGAAGTTCGTCGTGACTGGTCATCGAGATATCCTCTGGTAGGACCATTCCAAGACAGCGCAAGACGGCGCCATCTGCCGCTCGTGGGCACCACCACATCCATCAAGGCCTTCCAATGCACTGACTCCGAGTCGACGAGCCCATCTTCGTGCACGAAGTCGATGAATAGCTCTAGTGGTTCCTGTTTGGAGCGAGCGATGTGTGTGGTCAGTCGGGAAAGAGGATGTCTCAGAGCCAGAGGTGGGGCATCGCGGTACCCTTGCGACAACGAGATTGTCGACCAGAACTGGGCGTTTTCGATCGTCGTCTGCTGCCACAAGCGCGAGACGCGGGTTAGCACAGCCAGAGTCCATGAGGTGGATGGGGTCGGCTCTCCAGCATGAGCGGATAGACTGGAAGAACTTGAATCCTGTTCTATCTCAGGCTTGAGCTGGCCGGCAGGCGTCTCCCTCTTAGTTGTCATGGAGAGCAAGTGCGAGATGATATTCGCGATAACGGAGGGCGGCAGGCGTCGAACAACGGAGATTATGCCCTTGTGCTGCTGAATAATCTGCGTCAGCTGCTGTTTTTGCGTCTCCAGCTTCATGATTTTGGCATCCGCTCGCCGTGTCGCTGCCTCCAGTTCCTGCTCCAAGGCCGCTTTTACACCCGCAATCTGTTCGAGGACTAGCGTGCGCTCGCGGGCAACGCCGTCGATAAACTCGGATATGAGTCGAGCATGTGCCCCACCCTGCGGCGGGGGGTCGTTATTGCGAAGGAATGCAGCGGCTTCGCTGGGCGGGCTGAGGCGTGGAAATGGTTAGAGCGTGCATGTCAGGGTAGGTTGCTCACTTTGCAGACATTATTGAGGCAGGAACAAGTCCTGAGTGAGCCGAGACAAGGTGGTCGGGAAAGAAGAAAAAAACTCGTGTGACACAATGTCACATCATTTTTTTTCGCGTTCTTCTTCTTCCCTCCCTGCGCCCGTCTCCGTTATCCACGGTCTTCGAGCTCTCGACACATGAAGTACCACTCATTGGGCCCCACAAAGCCCTGCCTGGGTCCCGCTCCCTTGGCTACTAGTATCCGGCCTTGTGGCTGGCCGCCTGGCCTTGTCCTCAGGCTTACCGCGCATGCCCTTAGCGCTATCGCCCGGCCTCGTTTCTCGACGAAGACGCGCACCCGCGCAGGAAGGGAGGGTGGTCTCCGTGGGGGTGGATGGCTGGTCAATTAGGCGAAGGTGCGTCAGAGCGATACATCGTTCCTTGTGTTTATACTCACTGCCTTGCAGCTATATCTCCGAGTGAAGTGGGGGCGGATGCATGGTCGTATAGGCGGACGTGCGTCGGCGCGATACATCCTTCGTCCCGTTTTCGCTGACTGCCTTGCAGCTATATGCTCGATACGCTGGCTGTGACGGCTCTGGCTGCGTGGCTTTCGCCGTCAGCATAGAGCCAGTTTGTCGTGTCCCGTGCCGCCTCGGGCTTCCCGTAGTAGGCGCTGTGCCTCAATAGCACCACCAACAACGTGCCTCGTGCGTCCATCGACCGACCGCCCACTTTTCCTACCTCATACTTCTTTTACAGCAGGATGCTCGTCCGCTTCCCAGTCGCAGACATACCCCACCCATGTCTTCCCCCTCTTCAAGCACCGGTCTCCGATACTGAAGAAAAGGGAGGCGCATCCGAGGCGCGTCTTATAGTTCCTGTCTTCTCGTTTTATTGATAATAATAATAGTAGTCGTCGGCATGTTTGGCCAGGGTGAATCCCTGACAAGGAGATAGGACGACTTTTGAGTATGTTGTTTCGCTGTCCTCGACCCGTCGTTTAACCTTTGGCTAGCATCTGCTGTTCCTCCTTCCCGACTCCTTATGATCTCCACCCTTTCGCCTTCTCATCCTTCCGGAGGTTATCTATCGCTCGCGTTATTTCTATCCCGCTTCGAAGACGGCACTCCTTCCAGTTGCCTTCGTCGTCGTTCCCTGTATCTCATGGCATTCGTAGAAACCTCCCACTTGATGATTCTTCACTGCATGAACGTGCCCTGATTCACCATACCATATCCCTTTGCTCCCTTCGAGTTTTCTCCTATATCTACTGGCAGACTTTCAGCGCACACGTCGGACCTACCCTTCCTGCCCCGTTGCGTCCCCGCGACATTCAGTCGCTGGCTGATCAGGAGATGCACCGGCGCCCAGCGTCGGCGATCCTGGCACCATATTAGGACGAATTCTTATCCGCCAAGTGTCGGACGCCTGGCAGACTCGGAGCAGTGCTGCTGAATCCACTCCAGGGGTTGCTGCAGCTGGGAGAGGAGGAAAACCGAGAATGGCGCGAGTGTGTCTCACCGTCAGAGGAGGGACACGAAGTCCTGGCGGCACTGGCAACTAGTTCGAAGCGATGACCGGTCATCGTAAGCATGGCGCCGGCGGGGCCGACTTGCATAGCGAGGATGGAGCGCTTGCCTGTCTTCCAACGCGCCGCAACTACTGTCAACGCAGACGCACATACACGTCATCACGCCAATACCTCCCCCTCTTCCCTCTTCCCTCGGCCTCGCTCGCCCGACTCAGGCAACGGTGGCGGCGCCGCTCCACCACGCGAGCATTCAGTTGCACAAAGGAAAATAGGTCCGACAGGCACGCCCCTGACCGCCACAATTCTCGCTCTCCTCGATCGACCGCCAGCAAGCTCGCCGTTAAAAGCCGGGCTCGTCGTCGATGGCTTCATCCACCCAGCCGCCTCATCCATGCTCTCCTCGGTCCTCATCCCGCTTTTGTTCGCGGCCCACGTCAGCGCCGGCTTCCTTGTCGCCGACCCCGCCCCGCCGGCGCCGGCACCCTCGCCGGCGTTCGTGACGTACTACCGCCCGCGCGTGCACTGTCCCGCGGGGCTCGCCGTCGCCGCGGACGACGTCCAGGCCATCGACATCGCCGATCGAACTGTTGGGAGGGTTGTTTGCACCGGCCGGAGGCGCACCGACATTGACGCGGAGCAGATCAGCTGCGCGTTCCGTAACGTGGGTCTCCTCTCTTCCCGCTGTACTTGCAGTGTGTTGACGAGTGCCCTAGTCTGACGGCGCGCTGCTCCCGAGTATTTCGCACAGCAAGTGTGCTGGGCTAGTCGCCGAGGAGGGCACCCTGTGTCTTCCTCTGTGCGACGAAGAACAAGGACGGCGTCCCGCTGGCGCGAATGGCGCTGACGCGTGGCGGCGACACGGCGTGCTACTACTACAACGAGTGGTGTACCTACTCCGTGCGTCCTCTCCCTCCTCGATTCTTCAACTAACCAAAGTTAGGGCACCAACGGCAACCCAGATCCCGACGGCGGCAGCCGGTGTCCGGCGCGGGCGGGGACGTCATGCATCCTCGGCCGGCGGCAGTACCACGGGGAGGACAACTTCACGGCAATGCTCCGCAAGAAGGCCGAGGAGGAGGAGCTGCGGGGCCGCACCCGCGCCGCAAGCCGGGTGGTGCCCGAGGCGCTGCGCCGCCGGTTCGCTGAGCCCGAGGAGGATGCTTAGAGTTGTGGTCGTATTGCTTTGGTGCACCTTGTTGTATTAGTTTTGATTCAAGTTGGATCTGAAGTTGCTACAGATAAAAAGTGTTAATGTACTGTACCAAGTGACTGATCATGGATTATATACTATAGCTATACTTATACATCTTCCTTAGCAAGACAGGGAGTGGTGGGTGATGCTGCAAAACACAGAAAACAAATGGCAAGGGAAAGGGGAAACGGCAACGACATCCCCACGAAGGGACAAAGCACCACAACACTTGAAAAGAACATATTGGAGGCAACTCAGTCGATGCAGCACCTGACCTGCGTCATGTACCGTGCTCGGGAAAGCGGGCCATGTGGCCACCTGAGATAGTTGCCTGATATTTGAGTGAGGCCCAGCGCCCAATTCTATGGCGCTCGAAACGGGGGAAAAATACCCTGAGAAGAAACACCGGTCTCCGAGGAAACCCTCGGCACCTCTTTGATAGTTGCGAGAAATCTGGGCTCTCAGGCTTACGACAGCAAAAAGCCTTGTGTGGGATTTGGTCACGGGTGAGGCCCCATCGAAGGGGTGGCTAGACCATAAAGAGCACCAGAGGACACTATCAATTCTATTCAGATACATGACCTGCCCCATGTACCGTGCCCGAGGGAGCGGGTGGAAATTGCCTTATTTGGGTGCAGCCCCCCTGTTCAGCCCCCAAACCCACTGTGCATTATTAGTGGCATTGGCACTGATAACAGTCAGGGTTTTCAGCCTGGCCTAAGTGGGTGAATAATTATTAAAAAAAGGGTGAAAATTTCCCCAAGTCCAGGGCAATTTTTGTGCTTGTTGAAAGATCCTAGAGCCAGTGATTTTGGTGCCTGTGACATGTGTCATGCTATTATACAGTGACAAACAAGCCAAATTTCCGAAAGCAGAAATTTTTGCCACTGAACTACTAGTATAGAGAATGTCACCAATTGTCTCAAAGTCAAAGTTGGATATTTTGGCTGTACAAACAACTTTCATCAAGTGACCTATAGACTATAGGCTATAGTGACAGCTGAATCAGTGTGTTTGTCAGCACTAGCTAATATACAACTCATAAGACAATATCAGTAAAATAACATAAAGGTCTCACCAAAGACCAAAAATACCTAAAATATCCAAAAGACACACAAGACACCAGGTCCTTAGAAGACGGCATCCTGGTCTTTGGAAAGATTTGGGGGTCTTTGGAAAGACATAAGGGTCTTTCGGAGAGACTACTGTAGTATTTAGATCATGTGTCCAATTTATAAATATAATTTATGGGAACAATGGTGTTCCCAGGAGAGGGGAAGCTCGCCTTACTGTACTATTTAGATCAAGTGTCCGCCGCGTGTAACGCGTAACGGACACTGTCCGCTGGACAAGGTGTCCGCATTCCCAAAAAAGGCAAGTCCGGCGTCAGCCGGACCGAAAAATTTCCTTTTTCGGCCTGTTTTTGATGGGAATCCGGCCTTACACGTGTAACGAAAACCACAAGTGTCTGCGCCGCGACTGCGTGTAACGCGTAACGCGGACACTTGATCTAAATAGTACAGTAATCCTAGTATTATATATTTATAAATTCAAAGAAAGAAAAAGTGGATGGACTATTAACTACTGTACATATGGCTCATTGAATACATATTCTGTAAGAGTTATACCATAATAATCAATCTCAAACCCAAGTCCTTCTCTGCGTAGATTATCCTCAGCCAGCATCTGATATGTATCATTGTTTTGTGGTTTTTGCAAACGTGTCACAGGAAAGGCAGACCTAAATGCAATGCCCTTGAGAGTTTTAACTCTAGATATGGCTACAAAAGAGAGTCCTGGAGCAAAGTCACTGCACCCTAGATCTATTGTAGCCCGTTCAAGAGTCAGTCCTTGACTTTTGTGAATTGTGATAGCCCAAGCTAAAGTGAGGGGCAGCTGTGTTCTAGATAAAGCAAGTCCATTATTCTCCCAATTAGCTGTCACTGGGACTATAAGAACCCATCTAGGTTCAATTCCTTCCCAGCCTGGATTGTCTGGGACTATACAAATTTCCTTAGTTTATATGTATATCTGAATCAATAGTAACCTTACCTGTATAGTTCAGGAATTCTACAAAGACAACACTGGGTAGATCCTTTTGAGGATTAGTCTCTCTAAGATTGTTTTGCTGATTAGCCTCTGTTATGTGTTTAGGCCCGGATTCCTATCAAAATCGCCTTAAATAGGCAATTTTCTGTTCCGACTGACGCCGGACTTGCCTTTTATGGTAGTCCGTACACCTTGTCCGGCGGACAGTGTGCGTTACGTGTTCCATGCCACGGACAGTTGATCTAAATAGTACAGTACCATAAAGACTTGAGAGAAGACCATGAAAGATGCCTTAGCAGTGTTCAGAATGCAATAAATGAAACAAATCAAATTCACAAATGACTGATTAACACATATAGCATACCATATACTACAACAGTGCTAGGGTAGAGTGTGGCCTCCCCCCCTGCTGCCATATAGGGTAAAAGGGAGACCTTTTTCGTTAGGAAAAATGGATTTAGAAAGACACAATAAGTAGAACAGCAATCTTATCAGAAAAAAAAAGGAATCAACATTGACATACAAAAAAGATATCTTCCATTTTTTCCCACGTATGCACCCTTTTTCGGCTACTGTCAGGGGAACCTCCCTTGACGCCCGGAGACGTACCCGATTCTGGTTCCGACTCCGGTCCGGCCCTCCATCTCGCCCGCACAATCACCGATCCGTCAACGCCCTCCTGACGGTTGCCCTGGGACCTCGCCTGCGACGCCACCCAAGCCTTCTGTGCCCGACAGCGGCAGCTACGGACAAGCAGTATATAGTCAGCTACCTAGCAGGCGGACCCTCAGAGTTTCTTCTCTTTGGATCCTCCCCTGCTAGGTCGGTCCCTCCGTGTATTTCCCGTAGCTTTTATTCACGCTTTGGATCCTCCCCTGCTAGGCTTTCGTCGGAGTCTCCAGGGTTGCCCTTACAAAGACCTCATCCTGTGGTACTCCTGGTTGCGGAAACACAACCCAGATATCAACTGGGAAACCAAGGAGGTCAAGATGACACGGTGTCCCCGCAATTGCTCGACCTGCCGCGAGGAGGAGCGTGTCGAACGGACCGAGTTGCGGCGACTCCGGTCGCTTCAGAAACGTCTCCGCTCCGGCCCGTTCCCCTCGGTTTGCACTATGGACCTCTCTGGCCCTGAGGACGGAGACGATTCCGACTCCGGTCTCGATTCCGACCTGCCTGATCTGACACCGGACTCGGACTCGGACGACGAGGATGACCAGCTCAAAGATGGTGACCGCATCTTCTACACCTCGTTTCGTCCCTCGGAGGAGATACGCGCAGGTAGCACCGTCTCACAGCGCCTGGCCGAAACCTTTGCTAGGAACTCCGCCCCTCCACCCTCCGAGATCCCGGACTGGGCTAAGGAGTTCCAGGACGTCTTCAACAAGGAGTCCTTCGATATGCTACTGGAACGGAGAGCCTGGGACCACGCCATCGAACTCGTCGACGCTAAGCCCACCAACTGCAAGGTGTACCCCATCTCGCCCCTCGAGCAACGCGAGCTCGACGCGTTCATCGAGGAAGGGCTTTCGACGGGCCGGATTCGCCCTCCAAGTCTCCGATGGCGTCTCTGGTCTTCTTCGTCAAGAAGAAGGATGGCGGACTCCGCTTCGTCCAGGACTACCGTGCTCTCAACGCGATGACTGTCAAAAACCGGTACCCCCTTCCGCTGATCAACGACCTCATCAACCGGCTCAAAGGCGCTCGTTACTTCACCAAACTCGACGTCCGTTGGGGCTTCAACAACGTCCGGATCAAGGAAGGTGACGAGTGGAAAGCGGCTTTCCGGACTAACCGAGGCCTGTTCGAGCCCTTGGTGATGTATTTCGGCCTGACAAACTCTCCCGCGACGTTCCAAACGATGATGAATGACATTTTCCAGGACCTCATCCTCTCCGGAGACGTCATGATCTACCTTGACGACATCCTGATCGCCCATTCCGACCTCTGGAAACACCGGCAGATTGTCCAGGAGGTCTTGCGGCGACTCCGAGAGCACAAGTTGTACCTTCGAGCGGAGAAGTGCGACTTTGAAAAATCGTCAATCGAGTACCTCGGAGTCATCATCTCCCACAACCACGTCGAAATGGACCCCGTCAAGGTCGCAGGCGTCTCCGCTTGGCCGACTCCGGAGAACAAGAAGGACATTCAGCAGTTCCTTGGGTTCGCTAATTTCTACCGCAGGTTCATTCGGGACTTCTCGACCCTTGCGCGCCCTCTTTTCGTGCTCACCAAGAAGGACCAGCAATGGACTTGGGGCGACGCAGAGGCCTCCGCGTTCCAAGCGATCAAGGACGCGGTCACCTCGGAACCGGTCCTGGCGATTCCGGACGACACACGGCCTTTCCGACTCGAGGCGGACAGCTCTGATTATGCGACGGGGGCGGTTCTTTCACAATCCGCCCCGGACGGGAAGTGGCACCCTGTAGCATTCTATTCCAAAAGCTTAAATGATGTCCAGCGCAACTACGAAATCCACGACAAGGAGATGCTCGCGATCATCCGTGATGCCCTCTCCGGTGAGCCTGACCTGGAGGAGCCCGTCGCACTAGCGGCCCGGCAACTTCTTAAGGTTCAAGGTCAAGCTCGAGGCCCCCACTCCTCATGGTCTGACGAGTGGGCCGTCTCCAGCGGTCTTCTCCATTTCCGAGGGAAGATCGTTGTACTAAAGGACAAGGACCTCCGGAGACGCATCATCGAGCTCTGCCATGACACCCGAGTCGCCGGACACGCAGGTCGTTTCAAGACCTTGGAGTTGGTCTCCCGGAACTACTGGTGGCCTCAGATGTCTCGCCATATCGGCCGGTATGTTGCGACCTGTGACTTGTGCTGTCGCACCAAGGCACTCCGGAGACTGCCCCACGAAGAGCTGCACCCCACGGAAACGCCCCCGGAACGCTGGCATACCGTCTCCGTCAACTTCATCGTAGAGCTTCCTGAAGCCCATGGGTACGACGCGATCATGGTCGTCGTTGACACCCTCGGAAAGCGCGCGCCCACTTCTCGGAGTGTCATACGACGGTCGATGCAGTAGGGGCAGCCCGCCTTTACTACCGGAACGTCTGGCGGCACCATGGGACTCCGGAGAAGTACGTCTCCGACCGCGGCTCGCAGTTCATCGCAGACTTCACCCGAGAACTCTGGCGCTTAATCGGCATCAAGCCTGCCACGTCCACCGCGTACCACCCGCAGACAGACGGTCAGACAGAGCGCGTCAACCAGGAGTTGGAGCAGTACTTGCGGATCTTCACCAACTATCAGCAGGACAACTGGGATGAGCTGATTCCGGCCGCGGAGTTCGCCTACAACAACCATGTTCACTCCTCCACGCAGCAGGTCCCCTTCATGACGGACACGGGACGGCTCCCACGCATGGGCTTCGAACCCGGAGTCCGTTCCGCCATGGAGTCGGTGAACGAGTTCCGCGACCGGATTGCCACTGGTGTTGCTGAAGCCAAGGCCAAAGAGGAGTACAAGCGCTACTACGACCGGAGACGCACTCCGTCTCCGGAGTTTAAGGTTGGCGACCGTGTTTGGCTGGATGCCTCTGACATCAGGACGACTTGCCCCTCGGAAAAGTTCTCCCATCGCCGCCTCGGACCGTTCAAGATAGTCGCGGAGATCAGCAAAGGTGCCTACAAGCTCGACCTTCCTCTGCGCTACTCGAAGCTCCATCCGGTCTTCCCCGTCGTCAAGCTCGAGCTCGCCTAGGACGACCCCTTCGACGGACGCCCCGGCTACGACCAGCCCCCTCCGGACCTCGAGGACGGAGTCCCGGAGTGGGAAATAGAGGAAATCTTGGACGCAAGGGTGAGGTATAAACGGCTGAATTACTTCGTCAGATGGAAAGGCTACGACGCGTCGCACGACCAGTGGGTCCGCTTCGACCGCGTCTTCGCCCCGGAGAAAATCGCGGAGTTCTACCGTAAGTACCCTGGCAAACCACGGCACATCGCCTCTGCGACCTTCGACTCGATTCCGTTCCGGTCTATGCGTCGGGACGCCGCATTCAAAGGGGGGGGGGTGATGTCAGGGGAACCTCCCTTTTGGCCCCTCGGAGATGCCTCCGATTCCGGTCCGACTCCGGTTCCGACTCCGGTTCCGACTCCGGTCCGGCCCTCCATCTCGCCCGCACAATCACCGATCCGTCAACGCCCTCCCGACGGTCGCCCTGGGACCTCGCCTGCGATGCCGCCCAAGCCTTCTGTGCCCGACAGCGGCAGCTACGGACAAGCAGTATATAGTCAGCTACCTAGCAGGCGGACCCTCAGAGTTTCTTCTCTTTGGATCCTCCCCTGCTAGGTCAGCTTCATTTGTATTCGCTTACCAATGTTCACGCTTTGGATCCTCCCCTGCTAGGACCTTGATCTCAGGCCTCCGGGGTTGCCCTTACAGCTACAATCTGAGAAAACATTTTTCTGGTTAGATTTCCTTCCTATCCAGTGGACATTCTTTAAACCTTTTCTAATCAATCAAGGTCACCATTTTTTCTCCTATGATTACCTTCATTAAAATTTAAAAACAAATCCTCCGGTTTTCTTCTGAGTTGTCAGGGTGAGTATAAGCACCGGCCCGGGTGGCCGAGGCTGATGCTCGATCATGATATCAATCAGATTCTCCAGGTAAATCGTAACCTGCAGAATCTACAGTGTGTTGTCAGCTTGCTCATTGACAACATAGAATATGAATCAACAGATGGGATACTAAGGGTACGGGAATTAATACACAACAATATGTGATACAACCAAGATTGCGGAATACAAAATGCATATATGTGTCCCAAGATATCTATGCCTTGTTGCCAAAGTCCAGCATGATTCCGCGTTGCTTGAGCAAACTCTGCCCCATCAGCGCGCGCTGCCTCCAAATCGTCACGAGCCTATCCAGCTCATCGACCGTGTCCTCCAGCTCCTGCGTCTTCTGCAGCTTGCGCTTGCGGCTCTTCCGCGCAGCGAGGGTATTGCTCCGCCGCTTGTTCTCAATCTCATCGAGCACTTCCTTGGTAGGCTCTGCGTAATCCTCATCATCGAAAGCGGCGGAGTGGCGGCGCTTAAGCTTGCGGGACACGGACGCGCGGGGACAGCCTTGCGCGACGTAGCGCTGGGCGTCAGGTAGGTCCTCTTCATCGTCGGCGCGTCGTCCGGAATCAGATCATTGACGGTGATACCCCTTCGAGTGCCAGTGGCGTGAGGCAGCGACCGTGGCGTGCGAGTGGGCCGCACAGCCTGACTCGGAGGGGGTGGGGGTATGACGGGCGCCGTGGATGGGAACGCGTCGAACGAGTGCAGCATCGGCGAGCTGGGGCTGAACATGAGGAGCTTGTCCAAGTTGGGACGAGCGAACAGCTTTTCGTTGACGAGACCCGCCTCGCTGTATTCATCGGGATGCGCCAACAGCTGCCCCGCCAGGTCGTTCTCCTGGGTCCCGTCAACGACAAGCTGTCCGCGCCTCCCAACTTGGACAAGCTCCTCGTCTTCAGCCCCCGCTCGCCGATGCTGCACTCGTTCAACACGGCGCCCATCATCCCCCCACCCCCTCAGGCTGCCTACACCGTTGGCCTCGCTGTAGTCATCGGGGAGCGCCAACAGCTGTCCCGCCAGCTCGTTTAAGTTCTCCTCGACGGTGTAGGCGGCGCCCGCAGAGCCGAAGTCGACCTCCATCGCGAGGCGCGGCGTCGTCAGGAACGGCGTGTACGGCGTGTCGTGGGGGCTGGCCCGGGGGGAGTCGTCGTGCTCAAGCTCTGGCTCAGGGGAGTACTCGTAGTCGTAGTCGTCAAACAGCGGCTCGTCCGCGTACGCGTCGAAGTCGGCGGCGAAATTGTCGCCGACGCTCTGGAACTCGGGCGAGGCTGGTGGGGAGCGATCAGCGGCGGGCGCGTGGGGGCGAGGAGACGGGGCACCTGTGATGTCTGCGATGGCGCGGAGCGCTTGGTGGTGCTCTGCCATTGTAGACGACGGTGGTGAATAGTCCGTAAGGGCGCTGAAAGAAGGGACACTCCCGTGCGAGGAGTCAGAGGCGGCCCCAATTAGTCCATGCAACGTCTGGGGACTGGTGGTCAGTGACTGCGTGTGCGCGGTGTTGTCCTCGTCCGAGTCGTGGAAGGCAGTGCATGAAGGGCCTTCATTCGCGCGCCATCCGAGCGAGCTTGCTGCTGATGCAGTAGAGACCCGAGAGGACGAAGAGACGGTGGACATCGGCGTGGCGTGGCGGTGTGGCGACTTACAGGCTCGTGGTGGGTGTGGGTGTGTGGGCGAGGAGTGACGCGCGTCACGGTCGCGCGCGGTTTATAAGGCCGGCGGCGTCACGCATCACGGGCGCCTGTCGCCATCCCGACATCAGTCACAGCGAGGCTTGGCGCGATCCTATTGGACGCGCCTGCCGACCATCATGACGTGTAATGGAAGGCAATGGAACAACGTGGAACCCGCGGAACCGCGCATGAAGTTTTTGATTAGTAATACCTACGGCGCAGCTCTGCGCAACCTGCGGGCGGCGCCAGCGCACGGACTCCGGAGGAAGGACTGAACAGTTGACGACGTGAATGCCTCTAGCAATCGTCAAAATCTGGCGGACATCAATCTCTGTGACGATGACAGCTTGAGAATTACGCAGCTCGATTCTCGTGACGATCGCCGTCGATAGCTGTTAAGTGACTTAAGTTCAAGAACGAGCTCTCTCCTTTTCAGTAACGCTCAACAGCAACTATACGTAGGTCAGTAACTCCCCGCGGACCACAGCATACCTGATTGACACTTAGTGTTCTGCTGGCTTTAGCTTCAGGCCAAAAAGCCATGGCTTTTTGGCTTTGGTACCAGGGCCAAAGCCAAGCCAGAAATTTTGGCCTATGTTGGCTTTGGCCTGGCTTGAGAGTCTAGAAAGCCAAAGCCAGGCCAAAAGCTAATGGCTTTTCAGTCTGATCATTGATGGCTGATCTAACTTCCAAAAAGGAAGTTTTCTAGTCATATGTTGGGTTAGAAGTGCTATTACTAGCATGTCAAGGCTTTATTGATGCTCTACAGGTTACCTTATGACCCCTCTCTACACTAAATTAAATATCCACTATTATTTTTTGATGCCAACATCTGATCAACAACACCGGATCACACCTAGCCGAGGCCATGGCCTAGGCCAAAGCCAAGCTAAAGCCAGGCCAAAGCCAGCTGAGTTGGCCTGGCCTGATGATTTGCAAGGCCAAAGCCACGGAAAGCCGGGCCAAAGCCATGGCTTTCAGGCCAAGCCAAGGCCAGAAGACCACTATTGACACTTGATTCTCGTCCAGTTAATCGATCTTATTCGTTACCAGCATGGAGTACAACCTAGTCAACTCGTATCGATCCCAAGTTTCACCCGCAACTCGTGCTGCGAAAAGGACGCCAGGTGCTCGCGCCATGTGCGGGGCTTGCGCGCAAGGAATCCATGGTCGGTGAGGGATTTCGTGCCGTAATCAGTGCCGAAGGTCAGCGCTGATGCTCAACAGGAAGCAAAAGACGCACACCCGATGCTTTCATAGGCCGCATACATGTCGTTCATCGCCAAAACAAGGAAGAACGGCGCCTAGTAAGTAGAATCAGCGAGATCACGCAGCATGAGACAAAGCACGCACCCGCGCTGAGCTGGACCAGCATATCGTCCATCGAAATCACCGTCCCCGATAACAGCTCTGCCCTCGCGCCGAACTCCGCCCGCTCGATTGCGGCGCGGACGTACAGGCTATAGTCGCGCCAACGTCGATCACGGGCACACGCGTCGTGCCGGACGTCGGGAGGCGGAAGCTGTAAACTCGATCCGACGTGGCCTCCAGCGCGTAGGAGTCCAGGTATAGAGTTGTAGACCGTGGTCCTTGGGAGGAGCCGAATGAAGATATGTGAGGATGCGTTTGGGGGCGGTAGAAAGGCGGAACATGCGTTGTGAGTTCGGGCAGCGGAGGAGAAGGTGCTGGGCAAACGCTGTAGCCTTAGTAAGGTATCAGGAGGGAGCGAATTGCTCACCAAGGTCAAAGAAACGCACATCGTCTCGGGGATTAGTGATTCGCCGGAAGCTGAGCGCCTGCGCCATGAAGAAATGAGCAAAAACGGGTTGCGGGAGACAAGGGTGTGGTTAGACGGACCTGAGGCCTTGCTGTCCTGCTCACTTCTGAATGGATTCCATCCTTCAGCGTGGCACTCTGTATACGTGCTATATGACCATAGTCAACGTGTCAGCGAGAGCACAAGACGAGGAAAGGATGAGCGCACTTGCCCAGCTCAGGGGGGCATTGAGGCGAACGACGGAGCTCATCTGCTTGTTTGAGATGCCTGGAGAGTATGCAGCATTGTGCGGGAAAGGATTGAAGGCGGCAGATGGGGGGAGGAAAACAGAAATGTGGTGCTTACGTCAAGGTGACAGTCACCGTGACACGATTTTTTTTTCCATTCTTGACGGCCATCATCTCCGACTCGGAGTCAATGCCACGCCCAACACCTGCCGCGTTACTACGGGAAAAGCTCGCCGTCGTGGACGCGGAAATCGATGCGCTCCGCAGCCAGCTCGTCGCCGCCATCGACACTCGTCGCGGAGTCATTGCCCAGCTACGCAAAGTTACCTACTCCGGAATGACAGCTATACCCGCCGATATTCTGTGCGAAATATTCATTCGCGCGACAGAGACGAGATACATTGGCGACCATCGTACACGACATTGCTCGCCTTTTCGTTTGGCGGCAGTGTGCCGCATTTGGCGAGAGATCGCCTTGAGCCTCGCTGGTATCTGGTCAACCATCACGCTGAGCGGGCGTTTTGCGGAAAAGCGGCTGAAGTTATGCTTGAAGCGGTCGCGAAACCATTCTCTAGAACTCGACGGTCATCTACGCCCCTCGGCGCCCGACTTGCCGCAAAGCGCTTTTGCCCGACTTGCCAAATACGTTGGGAACTTCGAGGCATTGGTGGACGATGACGTCTCCGAAGTGCGGGAGCCCTGGATGCTCGCCAGCTTGAGAAGTCTGGAGCTTCATAGACAATTTGAAGGCGACAATGCCACCCCTGTTTCTCTCTTCGCCAATGCCCCGATCCTTCAAGAACTTGAACTGTTTGGTATCCGTTGTCACCAAATCATCCTTCCCTGGACCCAAATTTCAAGCTTTTCCGTCACCGACCTTGATATCGCCCACATCTATGAATCACTCCGCAGTATGCCAATGTTAGAAACCTTGAGGATTCTACTAGGTAACGCTAACGATCCAGAGTACGGTCTCGAAGGGCTGACTCTCCCGCATCTGCGATCTCTCCATGTGGTATATTGCGATGATACCAGCTACAAATGGACCGACCAGCTTACTGTTCCTGCTTTAACCAACCTCCACATCACCCGTCTCGACTACTTCGTGGATAGACACCTGTCCGCTCTTATCCAGCGCTCAAAATGCACCCTCAAAGCTGTTACCGTCAAAGAGCATCCGTTTACTCCCGGTGGCAAACAGACTGGCCATCTGACCCTGCTGAAACACACACCCGCCCTGATACACTTGAGCGTTCTGGGTTTCGAGCCATCGATCGCGAAAGCTATTTTCACCGCCATCAATGCGACCCCATTGCCCGCGCTTTCCACGCTTCGTTTTGACACGTCCCTCGAGGAGCAGCCACTGGCCTCTTTCGCCCATTGGTTGAAGACCCACTGGCGAGGCTCGGCATCGCAGAGCCCGCCCGCCGGCGCACATGCCTTGAAGGAAATAATTCTGACATCCTCGCCGAGTTCTCTGCGCCGTGAGAGCGCAGAACGCACACGCGAGGAGCGCGATGCACGGCGCGTGGAAACCATTGGGGAACTGCGGCGGGCGGCAGCCGACAACCAAGCAGTGACGGAGTTCACGTTCACGGCACCTAGCTTCTATATCTCGTCAAAAAAGGTCAGCGTACAGCCGTGGTCCTGTGAGTCGGGTTGATATTTACTGAGCTTGTAACAGCAACCGACTGGAACCTTGTGCTCCTTCGTGCAAGACTGGCCCATAGTTTGACTCGGAGCAATGCAGGAAGGACAGGACTTGACAACTTTGAAACTCGGGCATACAGTAGAGTTGCAGATGCAGTAGAGGGGACATAGATCTGGATTCTGGACTCAGCGGCAGTCGATATTCGAAAAGCAAGTCAATCATTACTCGGTAGTGCTTTGCATTATTTGAATTTTTCAGTCTTGCTAAGTTGTATTTCGATCTATATCGTTCCAATTGAGGAGTACAACCTAGTCAAATTGTATCGATCCCAAGTTTTGCCAGTAACTCGTGCTTCGAAAAGGACTCCAAGTGCTCGCGCCCGTGTGCGGGGCTTGCGCGCAAGGAATCCATGGTCAGTAAGGGATTTGGAGCCATAATCTGTGCCGAAGGTCAGCGCTGATTATCAACAGGAAGCAAAAGACGCACACCCGATGGTTTCATACGCCGCATACATGTCGTTCATCGCCGAAACAGGGAAGAACGGCGCCTTGTCCGCAAACGTCCCTGCGAATTCTTGCTGGGTGCAGGCCTCATACACGATGTCATGTCCGATAACTACTCGATAAATCAGCGGTCTTACCCAGCACAATACAAAGCACGCACCCGCGCTGAGCTGCGTCAGCATATCGTCCATCGAAATCATCGTCCCCGACAACAGCTCTGCCCCCGCGCCAAACTCCTCCCGCTCAATCGCCGCGCGGACGTATAGCCCATAGTCGGCCTCGACATCGATTACAGGCACACGCGTCGCACCGGACATCGGGAAGCGGAAGCGGAAGCGGTACCCTCCGTCCGGCTTCGCCTCCAGCGCATAGGGCACTGCATCGAAGATGTTGCTCGCATAGTACCCCGCCGCCTGGACGACAGCGAGGGGGACCCCGGACGCCTTGGCCTAAGCCGTGACGGCCGCCTTGCTGTCGAAGAAGATTGCGTGGGGGAGGCGTCCGGCGGAGAGCGCCTTAATTGATTCGATGCCCGACCAGATGAGCAGCGGTGTGTTGACCGCTTTGGCAGCATCGACCATGAGCTTGCCTTCAGCGATTTCCTGGAGAAGGAATGTGAGGCGGGACAAATGTGAAGAGGAGGCGACCACGCACTCTGTCCGCATCGCCGTGCTCCCGAAGTTGGTCACCGCCTGTGCGTCACCGAGGTTAGCAACTTGCTCTAGACAGACAGGGATAAAGCACACACAAAAACGACATCTGCACCCTCAAATGCGGCCCTAACCGCGCTCTCATTACCCACGGAAATTGATACGACGACAATGTCAACACCCTGCCGCTGAAACGCCTTGGCCGCAGGCCGGGAAGCGTCACGCGTGAGGCCACGCAAACGATATGGCCGCTCTGACTCGATGAGCGCCCGCGCGACGCTCCATGGGAGATGGTGGAGAAAGAGTCGGAAGCTCTCTTATGAATTGCAATTTGCAAGGCGGCCCGCTGGATTTCGTGGTGACAGAGCATGATCAGTCTAGCCGTAATCCACGGAAATCCAGCGAGGTACTCACTATATGCCGCAACCCATAGCCCTCGAGCTCTTTCTGTCGTTGAGAAAGCGACGCGGCTTGCCTAGAAGCCTGAGAAGATCAGAAAGACGACAAAGCGAAAAAGACCGATACGCGCACCCGCGACCCATACAATAGCCCCTCGGACATGGAGGCTAGTATCTCTTGCGGTCTATTCGTTCGTTTGGAATTGTCGCGGACAGAGTGGTACGTTGGGGGAGAGCATCGCAGTCGGGAGGTGGCGGAGCAGCGCAGAGACGTGGCGCTTACGTCACCCACACTTCTTCTTCCCGACCACATCCTCGGCGCGCCATCCCGGTTCTCCACTCATTTTTCCGTCCTCAATGGCTCCCCCGAGGCAAGTGCATGTCAACTCAGGCTCGAATGGCCGCTAATTTGCCTAGTAAAAGGGCCACGCCGCCCAGCGAAGCGACTGCATTCCTCCGCAATAACGACCCGCCCCGGGCAGGCGGGGCGCATTCGCGCCTAGTCCAGGAGCTCCTGACAAGTGCCGCCCGGCCCGGAGAGGATCCAGCTCATCAACGATATTGCGCGTGTCGAGGCTGATTTGGAGAAGGAACTGGCGGAGGCAAAACAGCGGGCCGCGACGAAAACAGCGAAGCTGACGAGACGGAAAGACCATTATGCCCAGCCTCGAATACTTGGTGGTTCACGCGCCATTCGACGGTGTCGAGAATATCATCACGCGTTCGAAATTGACAGCGCTCCGGGGCCTGGGCGTGTCCCCGGCTTCAAACGAGCTCGCTTCTGTCTTGGACATCGCCGCGACACAACCACGACTCGCGCATCTGGACGTTAAAAGTCTCAACGCGGCTCGCGACCCTGGCTGTCTCCCGTTCATCCGCGCGCTCGCCTTATCGTCACCCCCCACAACAGGCGACCGCTGTCTGCGACTCGAAACGCTGTCGTTGGATATCGGCATTCCCACCCAGACTCAGAGCAATGCGATCGTTGCTTTACTGAAGAGCCGCACAAAAACCGCTGTTTCCCGGGCCACGGGGCCGGCTGTCGTGTCCCCGCTTGCCGGAGCGGACGTCGGCCCGTTAGGCCGGGCAACGGTGACAGTTGCGCTAAGGGCAGTAAAACGGAGGGGCATTGCTCTGTGGTTACTGGTATACCCTCTCTGATGGCAGGCGTAGGAAATTCACTGGCACGCGCAGGATATTGCCAAGAGTTCCGGGGATGGACGGGCAGTGGTGCGCGAGCAAGGTATGAAGCTTGAGTAAGTACCTTGTGTGGTAAATAGTATGCACCACAATTACAAGAGATCTTCCTCCAGCTCTCCTTCTGATTTAAATGAAATCTGAATATGCCAGTATTCTTTCTAGTAAGTAATTGTCATTCTACAGTTCTACTAAATGGCACAGGTTCAACCCATTCTCGTCTGTGAACCACAGCGACATGGTGGAGCCGGGCAAATACACCCTCTGCAATGCCGGTCAAACCTAGTGCTGGGACATGCTGATGGGCTTACCTGGGTTGTAAATAGTCGGCGGGTGGAGGGGGGTAATAATAATATGTGTCTCCAGGGCCGGGGTACGCCGCCGCCGTCGTGTACTCAGGTGTGGGGAACGAATACCTCGGGGGCTCGTCAGAGGTAGTGACATGTTAGGGAAAGGCACGCACGAGGATTGCATGTTCATGTTTGGAGTATGGTCGTAGGGTCGTGTGGGTGAAAGACTGTTATCGTAGTATCCAACTTGAAGGCCAGACAGGTTTGCTTCGTTGTGAGGCGGATATGGTAGATAAGCCTGGCTTGCATTGCCATAGCCGCTGCTCATGCCGTAGGTGATATCGTCCTCTCGCATCGGGTAGTAAGACGGTGCGGGATTGAGTTGCAAGGGCGGACCAGAGATTCTCGGCGGCGGCCGTGGCTTTGGAGCTGGCTCGTCGAGGGGGACGTCCCAGTACTCGCATTCGAGTTGCTTCCGCAAACATCGCACGCAAGTAATGTCACCCGGATCCGGCGTCGCAATGCACTGTCCGCCGCTTCCTAGTCAGCGCAGATTAAGTATGATCCTGGACCACTAGCCTTGGCATGGCGCTTGCGGCACCGGACACATGCCCTATGTGCCCGTATGCCCTTTTGGGGGGCTGTTGGCGCTGGAGGTGACGGAGACCTATCGTTGAGCAGAAAGCCGAGGCTCGTCTTGCGCCGGAGGCTTCTCATATTGTCCCGACTCGGGGCACTCAAGAAGCTTGGATGCGGGTGAGAAGAACAGCGAGACGCGCGCCACGCACCTTATATACCCTACCATGTGTGGCTGACTCTGACAACGATGTGTGTGTCCACCACACACAGCAGGCTGTGCACATATGCGCGGCCAGGCCAAGGCTTCTACAAGCGCCCGTGAGCAGTCAACACGACGCTTTTCAGGGAGAGTGACTCACTTTTCGCATGGCCGGCTGCTGATCTAGATTCTAGACAAGATATCTAAAGTACTAGCAGTGGTAATGAACATGTTATACGTAGGAGTCTATTACAACAAAGGCAATGTGGAGGATGAGTACATACAATAGAGGAAAAGAATGGAAAATTGAAACAGGGAAGCAGCACAGCAAAGAGAGGTACGAAAATTAGAGGCGAGAGAGCCTAGATTCCCCATCCACCACCAACAGTGGAGATTGAGGAACTCGAATAAGGTATTGTGTATCCTTGGAGTATATAAAATAGGAAAGTCGAAGTAGGAATGGTGAAGGTAGACATCGGAGGTATGACGAGGAGGGGATGAAAGAGTTCCACAACGGCGTGATTGTCGGACAAAAGCGGGTCATAACTGAATATCAGAGGTAGTCGGGGAAGTCCTTTTTGCGTCATGAAGGACCAAGAGCGGTAGGAATGTCGTTTGGCCTGTATCCACAATATTATCAGCAGAACAAGACGAAGACGACGGTCTGTGGTCGTCATATCGTTATTTCGTGCTGTGGTGGTCGTGGATCAAAGTCGGTCAACGCCTGAGACCAGCGCCGCTCTCACCGCGTTGATCTGGTGAGGCGGAGGAGGAAGGGTAGAATGACATCCCGAGAACGGCCATACGAGTACCCCGCAACCGCGGCGCATGATAAGGAGGGGGTATGAGATGTCGGGCCCGTGATTTACTGACGCGCAAACGGCTGTAAGGGGGAGGGAGTCGTCTTGAGGTGATAAATGCTCTCCCGGAGAAAAGGAACGCCAACGAGGGTTCCTGGTCCTATTATCGTCCCTCCAGCAGGACATGGTGTATATTATACTCCAGGAAAGGCTGTATGACGAGAAGGGGGGACAGGAAGGCGAATCCGGTAATGGTGCTGAGGAAAGGGATTACGACGTCGAGAATGAAGCAATTAAGGAGCTTCTGGGGGCGGCGCGCGATAAGCTATGCGATTCATGACTCGGGGAAGTTGTTGCTTCCGTGGAAAGAAGGGTTATGAGGGCGGGGAGGCCATATCTTCTGAATGTTGTCCAAAAAGACCAGCGAAGACGAGGCGCGTGAGCAGCTTATCATCCACTATATGTGTACCATTGTGTAGTAGTTCCAGTAGGTTTGCAGCATCGGTGGACGGCCGAGGGGTGTGCGAATGACCGGTTATTTGTATGCAGGAGGAGGAGAGCAATGATGAGCTCGAAAAGCGGGGGATATAATCGAAATGGGGCGGATTCGGATGACAGAGTGATGCGATGAGTCGTCGGAAAAGCCGTTTATTGGAGTGAAGAGGCCGTATAGAGGGAAGGAGTCGCGTTGGGGGTTCCACAGCATATTGGGTAAAAACATGTGGCGACAATGCCTCGTGTGGCTTCTGTGGCTCGCGACAAGTGAATATTGGAGTCCCTCGGACCAGCCGACTACTTTGGGCCGAAGCAAACTAGGTGGAAGCAGCCGGGATGCTCCATTTAGCGCGCTACGAAAATGAGTACGGAGACAAGATGCCTGAATCGACACCGCACCTTCGAGTCTAAAACCTCTTTGGTTGGGGAATGTCAAAGCCTACAACAAGGCGCAGAACGGATGAAAGTCGCCAGCCCGACGTGGTGGTGTTTCCCGCCAGGCCATGGTCTTGCTTGAAAGCCATGGTCTGTTGGCGCGGTACAGTACAGTGCCGGAGTGCAAACGGGGCTCTGTGTCGAGCTTCGGGTGGATATAAAAGTCTTCCAGCCGACTTCGTTGGCGGTGAAAACCCGCGGGCGACAGGACCTGTGCCGAAAATCGTGGAGTTAGCCTGCAGCAAGACCAGGAGCTCAACAACGCACCGTGGAAGAAGCTATGTGACCACCATAGAGCCTCAGGCTGGTGCTGTCCGCCGCCTCTGGCTCTATCTCTCAGCATTTCCTCGCCGCTCCTCAGCCCACCGGTGACCGCCCAAATGCCACGTCATCGACGCTCAGTCTTCATATCGCTCTCCGGCAACGCTTTCTTCAAGGATGGTGGGAAGCATTGGCTTGTGGATCGTGGAACGGGCGGGTAGATGGATTGGCGCCATGGACTGACCATGGAGGAGAAGATGAAAAGGCAATTTCCTTTTTGGGTCACTTGTGAGCCCACGTTCAGGTCCTTCTTCCTCACCTGGCCAACTGCAGCTGGCATAAGCAGCATGCCCAGGAAGCACTGGTGGACGACCTTATGCGGCCCTCGGGCGAGAATACGAAGGCCCGGACCAGCCCCGGCGGCTGCCCCGGCGCCCGCGACCATGGCCGCGACTTCCGCGTCTGAGATCGACGATAAAAAATATGATCAAATCCCTCTCGCGCCTTCGGACAAACGGGACCTACTGTAGGAGTACTTGGTGGGATTGCTGTACGGTAGAATGTAACGTCAAAAAGCTTCCCGCTGAGCTGTGGGTCGAACGGCCGCCAGAGTGACGATGACATCAAATGACGGCCAGTAGTCACGCGGTGACGCGTCGCCGTTTCTCTGGGGATGACTCCATTGCTAGTAGCGCCTAATCCTCTCGACATACCCGAGCTCATCGACCTCTGTCTCTCTAACCTGCACAGTCAGCCTGATCTCTGCTCATGCGCACTCGTCGCCCGGTCCTGGGTCCACCCAGCACAAACCCGGCTTTTCTCCACCCTCCGCTTCCATTCGGACGAAAAAGACTGGTTTCCGCGTATCGCGAGGCTGGTATCTCCTCAAAACTCACGGCTCCTGCCCCACATCCATCACCTGATTGTCCGCAACGGGTTCACGGGAATCGCCGAGTTAGAGGGTATGCTGCCGCTCCTGGGCTGGACGCTGCGGGGCCGCATATCGTGCCCCAATCTCACGCGCCTGACCTTCCTCTACGACGGTCCGCCGCTCTCCCGGATGGCTCTCGTCGGCCTGCGCGACCTGCTGTCCCTCCCCACACTGCACACGGTGACCATCAAGTGCAGCGGCGGCTTCGCGAGTGAACGCGACTTCTGCCGCGTTTGGGCGATATGCTCCCCTAATATCAGGCATCTGATCTGGATGTGCAACTGGCCGGAGGAGTCAAGCTGGCCTACTGCGCACCTGCAGACCACTATCCAGCTGCGGTCCCTATGTCTTCCACGCAAGGCACATCCTCGTTTCGCGCGCAAGATGCTTGAATTGCTCCCCTTCACGCTGGAGAATCTCACGACGCTCTCGGTCTCGAGCATCAACTACTCTGCCGTCCTCTGGAATGTATTGCAGAACAAGAATATTAACAATAATAATATTCGCGAACTTCATTTCCGCGTCGAGGTACGAAGCTTGTTCCACAATACCTTCCCAGTTGGTGCCTCAGGCTCTGTCCAGATCTTTGACCCGGACGACGACATCATTGGCCTCGACCTCGCAAACTTCCCGCATCTGGCATTCCTCGACCTCGCCTTTCCGCGCTGGCAGCACTGCCTCGATCTGCTAGCGGCCCTCGTGCGCACGATTCCGCCCACAAATCGGCTTCACGCGATCCAGCTGGAGCTGTACGCCACGGCGAACGATGCTTTTTCAGGGTCCTGTGAGCCGCAGCCCCTCTGCACGGCCATCGCCGGTGTCGCTGGTGTCTTCGAGCTCTGGCTGAAGATGGACCCGGGTCAGGAAACTATGTGGCGTGAGGGGTTGCTGCAAGGAGGCCACTCAAAGCCGCTGAGTACGATGCAGCATCAGCGCGACATTTATACGAGCAACTCACGGCTGACAGATTCGGACTGTGGCGAGTGAATGCGAATGCAGCGATTGTCAGGTCTGTCTTCGTGGTTGAACTTGATTTAAAATTCAAGCTATTTTTCTAGCCATTGACCGCACTGGTCTACAACTGACCATTCGCCAATAACAAGCAGACAGTATGCAATGAGACTGAGGTGGTGACATAGTTAAGCGATATGAGTAGAAACTTGCTAAGAACCAGTGTGACTACAAAATAAATGTCCACCCCATGTTTTGCTCACAGTACATGATTGACAGATGCTATCAGCTTGAAATTTAGCATGTTGGAGGGTAGGTCTCCCTTGAGAGGTAATTCTAAATATGGAAGCTATCTGATGATCTGATGATGGGATATAAGGGTCTTTATAAATTTAAGCCATTTGAAATCACATGTGAGATTACATCATGCGTCACATGTGACAGATATAGTGTAGAACAACCTACTGTCTACAAAATGCAAGTTATTTTATTCTAAAGCACGGCCAAGTATAGTGGGGTTACGGAGCTCCGGTTGTACCGTACTTTGTGGCTTAGAGCTTGGTATACGGGTACGATACGGCCGTACCGTACCATAGCCGTACTGCTGTACCTACGGTCCGATTGCGATCCCTAATTAAAAAGATATCACGACAGTCTCAAAGAGGTTCTATAGTCTAGAATTACTTGAATGTGCTGTTAATATTGATTTCAGTCTGATATAAGTGGAAACTATTTGAACTATTTATTTATATTTGATCATAAATAATAAATAAAACTTAAGGAAAGTAGACTGGATTGAAAGAATTGGGGTATATATTAAGTTATCAGATTGGACTGAACTCAGAGCCAATGTCAGCCACACCAGGGATTTGTGCAAAAAAGGCCACCCGAAGTAGGATTTATATGTGACAGAGATTTATCAAAATCAATGGCCCTGATTGGTCATAAATCAAGGCTCTTGATTCCTGTGCATGTGGAAAATTTCCTTATTTGGAAATTTGCCGGTCACGTGCATTTACATCTGGGGCCTTGCCTTGGTGGCAATCAGCTGGCTGTTTTTAGCACCAAATCTCTGCCATATAAATACAGCTTTGGGCTGCCCTTTTTTGCGGAAATCCCTGGTGTGAGCTGACAATCATTGCCACAAATAAATGTACCAAATACGTTACAAGATATAAGACCATATAAATCAAAAATCTGGGCCAGTACCCAAGTGTCCCTAATATATCGGAAATAAGTGACAAATTGCCATTATATATAACCAATCACCCTTATATATGACAAATTGGGGTAATAATAAGGTGACACTATTCCTTTCACAAATATTTGGGCTTGAATAATGTGCACTTATTGTTTACGAAACATGGTCCGGAATTGGGTAGTCATCACACTGGTGGCAATGCCAATGGCGGTTGGCAATGGGGGTCCAACGGCAGCTTGAAGGGAATTTTTTTTCCTTTGTTGCAGACAAAGAAACCTTTGTTTGCACTAAGGCCGCTGTTGGACCCCCCATTAACAGGCCGCCATTGGGTTTGCACCCAGTGTCATGTAAGTGATATTTGATACCCTGATATAGAACTTGATTTCTTGTAAATCAGATACAATTTTCACAGGTTTTATATTAATCAAAGGGGCAAAAAAGCCATCGTTTTGGACCATTATGTCTTATATATAAATCCTGCTTAGGGGACCATTTGTCAGCTGAAACCCCGGTATGTGTACTAGGGATTAGCGCTTAGCGACCATCTGGTACAGGTCACTCATTATTTAAGATCTTACTGGGCCGTTTTCACAATTTTTCCCTGTGAAAAGGTAGAAAAAATTTATTCAAAAATTTTGAATTTTTTACCTTATTATTACTAAGAAAAATGTCAGACTATATATATATAGAGAGAGAGAGAGAAAGAAAAAAAAATTAGAAAAAAAAAAAAAAATTAAGATGTTTTGAAGATTTTTGCTAGGGAAATCGTTTCAAATTTTTCATTAGTAAAATTGTTGCACAAATGATAAGTTTTTTTCTTAATTTTTTATAAGCAAAAACTCAAATTTTTGTCCTAGTTTTGTCTTTATATATATATAGTCTGACCTTTTCTTCGTAATAATTAGTTAAAAAAAAACTCCCATTTTCTTTTTCTAATATTTCTCAGGCAAAAGTTGCCAAAAAAAAAAGTTCAAATTTTGACTTGGAAAAATTTATTCAAAAATTTCAATTTTTTACCAAACTTTTCACATAGAAAAATTGTGGAACCAGCCCAGTGGGACATGCTGTTGGGTGGCTTTCCACGCCAGTGGGCTATGCGGTTGAATTATTATTAAGGCCTTTGGTGCATCACTCTTCAGAATCAGACGCTGTCCCCGCTGATGGTCCGAATCCGTCCGATAGGCAAGGAGCAATTCGGATCCCGAATCATTCCCCACGCAGCTGATCTGCGTTCCCGCGCGCACGGGCAGTTTTGCTTACGACCACTACGAGCGGCGCGCATCCAGCGCAGTTTGGAACGCAGGATTAAGTCGCTATCAAGTTGCTATCAAGCGGACTTCGATTTGCCCATTGACAAATGGGCCGCCCGGGCTCATCCGAAAGTCATCCGACGCCGTGCACACGCAATCATCAATTAGTCATGTCACGCTGCTCGGGGCTTCTTCTCGACCGTCATCTCTATCCCACCTCGCTGCTCATTCCCAACCGGGCTCGACGACTGATGCGTCGCGCTGACCGTTTTACGGAGGGGCGTGAGGCTGGCTGGTTCATATAAGAGGCTGGTGTTCGCAAAGTCAACGGCTACTCCTTCAACTTTTACCTTTCAGGCTGCCTTGGCTTCAATACCGTATACGATGTCGACCGACTCAAACTCCAACGACTCCGCGACCACCGACGCCGTACAGTTTACTGCGAAATTCTGGGACAACTCTCCCAAAGGCAAAGCCGCGAGCAGAGTGTTCCTGAAGACGGTGGGCGGCTGTGTCGCGCTGCTCTCGCTTGGCATATTTGCTGTCTTTTCGATCTACTGGGGCTCGTTATGGCAGTCGCCAGACCATCCGCTGCAGGGCTGGGTCGTGGTAAGTTGCACGTTGCCCCCATTTGCGTGAGAGCTCACGGATTGCGCGACAGGACTTCGACGGCGGGGTGGTGGGGGCGGTCTGTATCTGCTGCGCTGACCGCGACACATCCTGGGCATGGAGGAATACACTGGAATGCCTTGAGTGCTAGCAATTTCCGTGGCGGCATCTCCCAACTCGAGAAAGACGTCTCTCAAGAGAAGGTGTGGTATGCGGTTGCAAGTGCGTTTTCTTGGTCTTTTTGGCGCAATCGATGTGTTAAATCGGATGGTATAGTTAACGCCGGGGCCAGTCAAAACCTAAGCACAGCCCTGGCATCTGCAGACGGGTCGTACAACTCATCCAATGCGATAACCTTCATCGGCAACGAAGCTTCGAAACGAGAACATATAGTATGTGGCCAATATATCGATTTCAATTGCTAAGTTACGGTATACAGTCGACTGCATGTCAGACTGGCAACTACCCAGCTGGAAGCCGTAACGAGTGAATTTGCGCTCGCCTTCCTTAAGAATACTTCATTGACCGGCAATCTGTCCCAACTGCTGCAGAACGCGCCGGGGTTAGTTTCGCATCCCATCTATTTCACCATTCACAATCTCCATCCCTTCGACGTCCCTGTCGCTGGGGCTGTCACCTTTGTCGGCCTCATTTACCTTATGATCCTCGCGGTAAGTGGTCAAATCGTTGTATCGGCTCCACACTTTCTCACTGAGACATCTTCCAGTTCTTTATCGTCAATGCGTCTTACGTTGGGCGAATCACCTCCGGCCTCGAAACCCGACTTTGCCTCGACTCCATCATACACACGCGGCTCAATACGGCCTACGTCGCATACTTTATACTCTCGCTATTCTACACCCTGCTCTGCCGCGCTTTTCAGCTCCCGTTCGAGCGGCACTACGGCCACGCGGGGTTCATCATCTTCTGGCTGCTGCACTACCTCGCGATGCTCGCCTGTGGCCTCGCGCTGGAGGCCGCGCTTACGCCTCCTTACATCCAGCTTCGCCCCCTACTTCCTCATATTCTGGATCATCATCAATGTCGCGTCTGTGTCTTCCCCATCGACGCCCTCCCGCATATATACCGCTACGGCATCGTCTTCCCCGCGTACAATGTCTCGCGCGGCGTGCGCGCGATCGTGTTTGGGACGAAAAACGACCGTGAGCATCTTCGATTTCCGTTGCGAGCGTGGATGGCTGACATGTCTGGCAGTTGGCATTAATTTCGCTGTGCAGATTGTCTGGGTCTGCATCTCCAACGCAAGCGTGCCGATTCTTCAATGGCGCGTGCGCCGCTGCTGCGAGGCCGAGAGTCAGTCGGGGTCGGAGAAACTACCAACAGCGGCATGACTGGGGGTCCATGTATGTATCCTGGAAGTCGAGATGCCTATAGATATGGTTGGTCTCAACATCGAATCGGTCTTTGTGCCGGTGTTAATACTTGCTTTGCGCTATAAATCCAATGTTAATGGTTCTGCTCCAACGTAAAATCCTCGTCATGGTACAACTTGAAAAATTGAAGGTCGCGGTCGCCAAAGGCTTGCCATAGTCAAAACTTCGCATTGATTGTCCCATCTATCACAGACCTCAGGCTGGGACAAGTTACAGCGGAAGTACTAGTAGACCATCACGCCAGTGTTCTCAGCAATCTTCCAGAGCTATGTAGTCATTTGTTTTCGCGTCTCCGATGTATAACATACTCTTATTTCCGCTTTATTCATCACGTTCCACGTGCACTGAAATCTTGCGGCTCCCAATTATATTTGGATGCAGTTAAAGGCTAATAGTGTGAGTTTGCAATGTAACCTGCAGCATACGAGACAAACCTGACAATCGATGCAAATGCATTCATTACTGCTCGCCAAGGTCCACAACTATGGGTAAAACGTTGGTGACGACCGGTAGGAAGTAGCGTTCATCTTACTTACCGTTTTGGCAGTGATGGTGAGACGACAATTACTGCACTCACATGCGCTTGCAGGTGACAAGTTCCATACCTATAGAAGATATAACCATCAGCGCCAGGTGATTTGGAGCATTGCAATGCTTGCCGTCTTCGACTTGTTTGTTTGTGCGAAGCCTTCACGCCAGGCGTTTGTCATATCCGGCGGCATCTTAATCCAGACCTCGAATTTCCCTGGGGCCTTTGCGATGGCGTTGTCAAGGCTGTCCTTGTTGACCTTGCTGTGCAGCTTCATGTCGTGCTCGAAGTCGTACGTGCTGAAAGACTGGAGCTGGATAGTCTGGAGGCGGTTGGACGCCGGTATGGTGGACACGAGTTTAGCAAGGAAGTTGAGGCTCTTCTGGTGCCCAGGGCAGAAGCACAGATCGAGGAATGTCAAAAACGGGAAGTGCGAAAGCATGAATGGCACAGGTCGATCTGCTCCAGTCCGAATATTGCCATAGGGCTGGTGATAGATAAGTTTAAAGATACAAACGGTGTAAGGAAGCGCTGCCCTGGCTGCGAAAATGGAGTTGCTGGATCTTGTTATCTGGCGGCAAGAATTCCCAGAGGACAGCAGAGTAGTTAAGACTGGAAATGGAGAGGGTCGTGAGATTATTGAATGTGAAAGGCAGGAGTTTGAGCATCTTCTTAAGTTGCGCAAGGTAGGGCTGGGTCGTCGGCGGGAGGCACAAAGAGCTGAGCGAGATCGCATTCGTCAGGGTAGAAGTTCGTCGTTGTTGGTCCAAGTCGGTTTGGACACTTGTAGGTTCATACGGATACCAGGCACAGATCAAGTTGAGATGAAGGAGATTTGGCGAGCAGTTCTCCCAGATCCTGTAGAAGTCGTCTTCGGTGGAGAACTCGGCGCAGTGGATGGTCAGTGTCCGCAACGTTGGCACGGCTAGGATCTCGCGTAGGCTGATGATGGCCGCTTCAGACAAACGCGCTCCACTAGACCAGAAGGTCATGCGGTTGAGATTGGGAGATGCCTTCAACAGACATGCCAGCAGTGACAACAACTCCTCCACGGCAGTACTCTGGGTTCCTTTGCTTTTCCCGTAAGCCAATCTAAGATGCCGGGGATGTCGGAGGAGATGTGAGTTCTGTACATCCACGAGTGCAGTTAGGCGCGAAAGCCAAACAGCAGTCACCGAGCTGTCGCCCTCATCGAAGCCATGAAACCGAAGCGTGCGGAAGAGATGGGCCTGGGCTGGGTAGACCCACGCGCGAGGCGACAAGAGCGCATGAGGACACGTCTTCGGTAGAGGTGTGAAGATTCCAGAACACGTTGTCGAGGAGCTCAGTGAGGTACAGCGGGTTGGGCGTCGTCATCGTCAGGAACTTGAAGTGGTGACAAGTGTGACCCAAACGCCCATGTCGATGGCCCCAGCCCCATCATCCACTACCCGTATCCGTGCTCTCTGCTAGCCCTTCTCTACATGCCTAGGCTGCCGCAAAAAGCACACAGACAGCGTGGGCGCCAGAGTGGAGGTGTGTCGTGTTTCTTATTATCAGTCCTTCTCTCAATGTGTGTCAGCGCCAGTGCTGGTGCCACATCCTCCAGCTCGCTGGATACGAGCCGGTTACTAGGTGCCCGATCCTTCCGCACGCTCGACCATGGGTGGTATCGAAATGGCTGGGCTTACGAGGAAAGGACATACGGAAAAGAGTGGGAATGGCTCGCGCATAAGGTGCGTGTGTGTGGCATTTAGAAGCCTCTCGCAGACGTCTAATCCCCGCATTTCCAGTCCCAACTCGATAGCCAATACTTTGTTTACTCCCTCTTCCTCTCCTGGTCCAGGAGGTGTGTCCTCATTTTCTTCCGCTTTCACCAAATAACGTGTTCTTCTCAGAACGATATTTGATTCCTATGGCAAGCGCGAATAACTTGGTGCGCATGCTTTGCTGCGGGCTCAAGGTGCGTTGACGACTGTGAATGTTTTCGCTGCCTTTGCTAACGTCTTTCTCTCTCGCAGAACTTCAAAATCGTCTGACTCGTTCGCAAGCCCATCCAAATCGCCTACGAAATAAGGGTCAAGTCTGTGCTGGCGCGAGGAATATGGACTGGGTCAAACGTGTGTGTGTCGACCGTTTCCGGATGGGTTTGTTGTTGACCAGATGAGTAGCCGAGAACAGACGCTTGGTCTGCGTCGTCTTTTCCGCCCATTCATCCCGAACGCGTCAGGCCCTCAGAGCTCTATTCTTACCACTCGTCCTTGCGCGCATTTTCATTCTCCAAAGGAAGCGTGGGCCTGGAGTAGCCGTTTCCGTCAACGCGTTCAAGCACCATGACCTTGAAGGCCTCCGCATATAAGCGGAAACTTTGGATGAGACGGTGAGTCTTTGTGATTCTGGTGTACGTATACTGAATCATTGTCAGGTTCTGCATTTCTTGCAGCTGTACGACGCTCAGATTATTCCACAACTCAAAGCGCGCCATATAATACTCCTCAAAAACCACTTCTGTGGTACCCCGGAAAATGCCTTCAATCGTAACAACCCCGTCACCTCTAGGAACTGCGCTACCTTATCCACATTCCTCTAAAACATTCGGCTGGTCCTTCTTCGAAAACAATGCCGTCTCCGACTCATTCGATGCGCCTTATTTCCCCACCTCGAGTCTTCCATTCCATCCGACATCTTTCTGCCAATGCGGCAAAACCGTGCAAATCCTTGCTGGCCCAATAACGCATTTACAACTATCCTAACTCTCCTCATCGATGCAATTGCGCAATTACGCCTCCGCCGTATCGCTCACCCATCCAGTTGCGTCTGGTCTTCCCGCCTCCATCCACGCATGTGCCGTCACGCGTGACTTGTGACACGAATCGAGACGACAATAAAACCCATCCACCGCGCGCGCTGTGGCTACACCGACCCGCTCTCGAGCTGCCCGAATAGCTCCACATGACGTCTATTTAATGTGGCCCGGGATTGAGGGTTACAAGGTCTCCGTTGAGCACGCTTTCGTAGACCAGGGGACTTCGTCGCGAGCTCGGTCGCGAATTGGGAAACAAGCCATGGCGCGGAAAGAAGGTGATATAGTCATGGATATAGTGTGTGCCAACTCAGAAAAAATGTTTTCAGAGGCTTATTGGGGCTTATGAAGGGCACACATTACTTCCATCGAGGTTTTCGTGGTTCGCTCCACATACGACTAGCGGCACAGATCTTGCGCTGCGTACTTCTTTATGGACTCTGATGTCTCATGCTGCTCCATGTCGTTCGTCGTCTTTTATCCGATTGTTGCCTCCTTCAGGTGAATACCATCGACTTTTCTTTCCCGTCAAGTTTCTTCAGCTCCGACTTATGTATGCACAATATCCTTGCTAATTGAAACCTGTGCTTAAAGCAGGGAAGGCAGTGAAGGTAAAAGAGTCGGTTGTGAAGTTACAGTATTGACCGTGTCGAAGGGATTGGTTACGAAGGACTTTCAAAGTTGGCGAGGGAAGGAACTTGAAGGAAGTTTTAGTCGGGGGCGAAACGGCCCAGCGGGGATTGAGGTTTAAGGTTGTCGCAGGCGTGCTGTACCTTTGCCGCACGTTGCCAGAGGTCAGGACTCCGTCTCGAGTCTCCTTATATCGGGTGCGAGCCACGAAAAGCCGTCATGCGATGGTGCGGAGTCAAGATCAGTGTGGTCACATGCCTCGGGCCTCGGCCCTGGGCCGATCACCGCTTCTTCCTTTTCGACATGGCCGACCGCCCTCTCCGCTGGCTGTCGCTAACTCCACCTGCGGTGGAGGCTTCGATTCAAAGGGCATCGGGCAGCCTGAGCGGGATATGGCTCGGCGGAGAACTGGCAGGCGGCGGCAGACTACAGTGCGTAAAAGAGCTGTCAGGTACCGCTCTTTGTCTTACGAAGCCAGATTGCGCGACGGACGTCCTTTGTCCAGTCCGGCACGCTACGGCCCCTTTGTCGCATGCCGGCGCCACGTTGTCTTTGGAGACAAGAATGCGCCAAGGCTGGCTTTCATGAAAATACCATTTACGAGCCTTGCGCTCAGTCCTTCGTTCGGCCAATTACACCCCCATCCACTAGCATGGCCGCTCGTCGTAGGGTGCTGTGAGTTGAAGGTGTTTCGAAACCCGTTTCGAAACGGTTTCGAAACACCTGTGAGTTTTGAAATGTTCCGAGGGTTGCCCCGGTTTCGAAACCGGCACGTGGTTGTCCGGGATGCCCGACCTCGGCTTTCGGCGACTGTTGTCATGGCCCAGGTGGCCGACCATCACCAGAATGGCACCTCCCCCACGGGAATAGCTCGGCTGTGGCACCAACTCCCTTGGCGTGGACCGGTATGCCAATGTGGGACGTTGATTCTCGGTTGGCACCTCGGCCGGCTACCGACGGAGCGGTCCGGTCCCGGCAGCCGGCCGGTTTCGAAACAGTTTCGAAACACCCCTGTTTCGAAACCGGTTTCGAAACAGCTGTGAGTAATTCCCCAGGAATTACTCACAGCACCCTAGCTCGTCGATTGACTCGCAGGGTCTACTTGCGATCTGCATCGCCCGCTGAAGCATTGAAGGACGGCGAGCCTGAGGGCAGCGTTGTAGTACCCAGCCTGCGAGCCCGCTCTCGCTCTCGGTCTTACGAAGTCGGTGCGTATCTTAGCTGTTTTTTTTTTTTTTTGAATACGCTCCCAACACACGTTGCAGGACTTCCGGGCATCCCTAGGGCTCCGATGTCACTGACAGAATCCGGTCCTCTTGTAACAGCGCAGCAGCCTGTGGTATGTACAGGCTCAGGCTCTGACGCGGCAAAGCCCTTCTGACGCGAATATCTTAGCACTACGTGGCCGAATCCGTCCCCCTGTTTCAGGCGTCAAGCGCAGGCACGAGGACTCGGAAGATGTCAGCGAAGATGAAGCAGAAGAAGAGCAGACGCGTTGCTCTCCGCGGCCGCGCACTGTACACCGGCCGGCGCCCTCAGATAGCGCATGGCTTCCCCCAGGTCTCCAGAATTGTCGGCGTCGCGGTTGGTCATTGTCGCGAGGAGTGACGAGAATAGTGGGACTGGGACTCGTCAAATGGGACTGAGTCCCACGTTGATGGGCCCAGTCCCACTTTGATGGGGCGAGTCCCATTGCCACGGCGCCAAGAGCGCGTAGCCGAGCACGAGAAAAGCAATCAGCATCGGTAATCAATCAAAAAAACATAAAAGAAGGCGCCGCGCAGCGGGCCTCCGTGGCGAGCGGCAGCCCGCGGCAGCGTGGGGTCCGGGGCGAAGCCCTGGTCGGGGTCCGGGGTGGGAAACCCCGGCCGTCGCGCGCCACCCTGTCAAAAGTTCACATGTTTACCAAGTAAAATAGGACAAAAGACACCGGAAAGAGATGTCACGCTCCGCGCAGCGGGCCTAGCGGCGAGCGGAAGCCCCCGGCAGGGTGGGTCCAGGGCGACGCCCTGGTCGGGGTCCGGGGTGGAAAACCCCGGCCGCCGCGGCCGGCGCCGCAACCCAGTTGATGCGACCCATGTCGATCCATCAACTAGGGTGATTTGTCGTAACCGAGTCCCACTCCGGGGCTTCGGGAATGGGACTGGGACCAGGAAAAGTGGGACTCGAGTCCCATTGTCCCAGTCCCAGTCCCATTACTCTCGTATATACTCCATTGTCGCCACGATCCACTATTATAGATGTGCTGACCATCCCGCCTTTCGCAGCGCGTGCCCCGGCTCTGCGCCACCCCCGCTTTTATTTCGACGACGGAAGGATCGTGCCCCGGGTCCGGGACACCCTTTACAAGGTCCGCCACCTGCTTCGCTTGTAGTTTGTCCGTGGCTGAATCGTCGATAGGTCCATCGATTTGTGCTCGCTCCAGAGGGCGAGAATACGACCTTTTCCTGGCGATTGGAAAACGAAGCAGCCACGGAGTTCGTCCCGCTTGTGCTGCACGACGATGACGCCGACAGCCTGAATGCCTTTCTAGGCTTGAAATACGAAACGTGGGAGAGCTTACTGGGTGTGCCATGCTCGACTGACCGCAGAATACAGGCCCTCTCCCAAGTTTGATAACGCACGCACGATCACCGATCTCCCGACTCTCATCCAAGCAAACAAGTTCGCGCGGGCCCACGACATCTGGCGCACCGCACAGTGGATAGCAGGGCTTATCAGCCGTATACTCTCCACACTCGGAGACGACCCGGAGGCGCTGCTGAACGACAGAATCTCCTTCCCTCACTGCCTGACGCTGCTGCGCTCCCTCCGCGAGCTCAGGCTCGCACTATCGCGATTCGCCAGTTGGGGAAGGCAACCAAGAGCGGCTTCAGCGTCGTCTCGCAGCCGCAGTCGTGCAATACGTGGAAGACGACACGGTTTCCCCCCGCCGGGCGCTCGACATGGTGCATGATTCACATTCCGGCGGCCTCCGGCGGCTCCTCGGGGAACTTTACTACCTTGACGTTGTGCAGAACGCACCGCTCCGCATCCGGGCCCGCGGGCGGCCCCGTGACATGTCCCACGAAAACCGGTCTCTCGGACGACTCCGACCGTGACAGCAGTGACGACGGCCGGACGCTGCAGGAAACCCACCGGCGCCGGCTGCTGCGCGGGCACTTCTCGCTGGCCGCGTGCGCGCAGCGCGTGGCGCAGATCCTGCGCGAGCACAGCTGCGCGGACGCCGCCGATACCGGCCCCGGCCCCGGGCCGGCGCGCCGGTGCTCCTCGCGACGCTGCACGGCGTCGGGCCGGACCTGCGCGGCTTCTTGGACTGGGCGTAGGCGCGGGCCGGAGACGCGCCGGAGGGGTGTGCGTGTGGGGAGCGGCTGAGGGAGCTGCGCGGAGAGCTGGATGGCAGTATTGGGGCCCACTTCCTCGGGCCGTGGTCAAGGGAGGTGTAATCCATCTCCTAAGTTCTCTTTTGGTCGTGACTCGCAAAAGACTTGGCCATAGCTTTCCTCGTTGGCCATCATTTTCTGTACTTAGTATATCGAGCTCTTCCATTCTATCTTTCTTCTTCACGTTGCATTCACTACACATGGGGAATATACATCGTCCAATTGACGTCCACAAAAGCTGCAGGCTCGACGGATCGCAGGGCCATCAGCGGGAGGACCAGCGTGGCAAGTCTTGCAGGGATGTAGAGCAGCAGCGCCCACAAAACAAAAGCCGCGAGTCGCGTATATGTCGTCTGCGCATTGCTCATCCGCAACGTGAGCTTCATATCACGACTTACTCCATCTTCACCCACGAAAAGCAGCGCAGCCGCCGCGAGCGGGATCGCCGCGAGCGCCGTCGCCGCCCCGCGCCAGAGCCACATTTCCGGGGAGGAATTGAAGCGCCCGCGCCAGGCGGCACAGTGGATGGCTCCGAAGAGGCCTGCAATGAGGAACTCGTGCAGCAAGCAGCGCCCCTCCAGCGTGAAGGAGATGTCGTCCCAGACGGTGTACCAGAAAGTGGGCACGCTAGCGGCGGTCTCGGGCCGGAAGAGGTCGTCGGCGGGGCCGAAGGGGAAGCCCAGTATGCGGAGAAACCTCGCCCGCCGGCTCGCCTGCAACGGTTCCGCGGTGGGTGCAGACTCTATCGAGTCCTGGTCCCAGGGGTCGCGCGCAGCTTCGTAGGTGATCACGATGGCCTCGCTGACATCAAGCGGCTTGTCCCACCACAAGACCCACGTGAAGCAGTTGAGCGCGGTAAACGCGAGCGTGATGACCTCCAGTTGGGTCAGCGGGAGGTGCTGCGCTGCCCGCGCAAGACATTGCAGGACGAACCAGAGGCACTGGCTGAGTGCGATGGCCTTGCTGTACACGTCGCCTTTGCTCTTGTCGGTAAGAGCGCCCCGAGGGACGCGCTGGATGGCGCCGAGCGCGGGGAAGGTGCGGTTCGTGAGGTAGTTGGCCCTTGCCCACAACGTGAGCGAGCGGCCCGTGAATTGTTTACTCGACACGAGCGGGTGGCCGTTGATGTCAACGAATCCGCCCATCCCGATGAAGAATCCGTGGGTCATAGACACTTTGAATACTTGAAAATGTTGCAGTCAGGAAGATGGAATGTCAGCAAAACGGCTACATACCTTCCGAGAACTCCTTCGCCATCGCGCGCTGTCTTAGCGCCAGCCCTACGATGAGCTCCGGCGCCAGAATGCCGACAAGCATGAGCTGCAGCCGCGCGCGGAAGGCAAGTGTGCCGTGCCGTATTTTCCAGAAAACCCGCGTCCAGATGCTGCTGTTGTGCGAGGGCTCCGCAACCGCGGGTTTCGGCGGCACGTTTGGGTGCACCGACACCCAGACGCAGGCGAAGATGGTGACCAGACACCCCCAGATGATGTCGTAGAGCGTTCTGCCGCCGCAGCCGTCGGCGGGCCCGGTGGCGGGGGGAGTGGTGTCGCGTGGGCTGGCGGCGGTGAGGGCGAGGAGGAAGAGCATGGACTCTGCCTGAGCTTTGAATAGATCGTGGGGAGATGGCCTGGACGACAATCATGTCAGGCTCCAATCTGCCAGCGAGAACAGCAGTTGTCATAGCCTGGACATAGCTTGGCGTTGACAGATGAGCAGCGAAAAGAAAGTGTAAGCAAGCACGTTGGAATAGGTGAGTGGTTGTGTAGTCGTAGAGGAAGGTTGTCAAGCTTGAGGATGTGTGACGCGTGTGATCGCCTCTTTCTTCTTGACCACGACGACGACGCTGAGAACAAAAACAGCACGACTATGCAACGCTGCCAACTCCCCACCATGTAACAGAGCCGCTCTCAATCGCCTCAATATGGGACTCCTCTCCGGCAGAGGTGTGTTTGCTGCCCATCTTGTCCTCGTTAACTGACGCATTCTCAGCCGCAAGAAGGACTAACGCCGAGAGCAAAAACAGCACGACCATGCAACGCTGCCAAGTCCCCACCATCCAACAGAGCCGCTCTCAATCGCCTTAATATGGGACTCCTCTCCGGCAGAGGTGTGTTTGCTGCCCATCTTGTCCTCGTTACTGACGCTTTCTCAGCCGCAAGAAGACAGCGCACTTGTCCGTGCTGTTCTCGGCCAGCGCGGCGGCGTTTATGGAGGGCGGGTTCAGCGCTTTCGCCAAGTGGAGGAGGGCTTAAGGAGGCTACAAAGGGTGCTCTTGAAAGACAGTGTGTGTCCTCTGTGCTCCGATTACGGCGCGAACGTTGATGAGCTTCCTGCTTCAAGCCCAGCCTATTTGCCAGCGCAGTTGGTGTCGGAATCCGCAAACCGAATACTAGTACTGGAGAAGGCGACCTACCACTCCACTCTTCTTGCGGTCACCATTGTCGGCCCACGTCAAGCTTGGAATCCACCAGTACGCCAAGGCATCGTCTTTTTGCGCAGTAATACCCGCTCTGGGCTCCACACGTAACGAGGAAAGGCCACATTGTGCGTTGATAACGCCGCTCAACCCGTTTATCCTCTCATTTACTTATTAGCGCTCCTTGCCCCTCGTTCTGCTTGCCTTTTTCTCTATGTGCGTCCATATGCGCAACACCCTTCGGCCCTGGCTCGTATGTCAAGCGGATGGTGGATGCAACGACTTCGAAGCAGATGCGGGAAAGGCGTGGGGAGAATGAGAGAAAACACAGTTCAAGCTTATGTCCTTCGTGGCCGATGAATAACACACATTGTATCTGCAAACCGGGGCTCTCTTTTTCCCAACGACGACTTCAATATTTCAATTTACGTGTCGCTTGCCCTCCACCATGTTCTGCCAATGCACCCTTCAAGTTTCTTCTCCCTGTCTCTCTTGTTTTCTGTCCCTCCATTCATTGTCTTGCATGTGCAATGTAGCACTTTGTACAAAATAGACATGGCAACGTCAAATGTCTCTCCATTCTCCAATCCACGATTGCAGGCAGACGAAGACCCGCACTATACGTGGATACTTTCCTATCTATGAGCTTTCGATACACCATGCGAATGGTCTAAGGCAGAAGTTGACCTGATATTTCAGCAGAAGGTGTGCTACTGCCGCATGCTGCTTTTAATTCTTCTTGCTCACCGCCTTTGCTGCACAAGCCACTGTCCACACCGAATCTATTGCAACCTGAACCCAAGCAAGTTACAAGTACTAAGATACTCTGTAGCCACACCACCGCCAACCCATTCCATCTACCGGAGACGAACACTCGCCCAATTGAATCTGCAGTCAAGCATGTTAGTCACCGGCGCAAGTTCGTTCGCGAATCGCAACACCACGCACCCTGCCGGCGCAGTCACGCAGCCCGAGTTGTGGGCGCTGCTCGCCTGGGCGCCGTTGGTGGCATGTCCACAATTATATTATGCTAGAATATATTTTGAATATATTCGAATAAATATGATTATATTATGCCCTTTGCATATTCAGACCCATTGAATATGAGTGATTATGAATATGAATATATTATGAATATAATATATTATACCTTGGCCATAATTAATTATATTCAAATACACCAGCAAGCCCTTCAGCCAGAGGTACTAGCTCTGTAGCAGGCTACTAGCAGCAGTAGCAACATCTTCAAACTCAGTCTTTACCATATCAATGGCTTTTGGCAGTAAATCAGGCCGGACAATATCCATATCCAGCCCTGACAGAAGGCTGAAGTTGACCTTTATATTGCTACCCTGGACTTTGATGATACTCTTCGCTGGTGAAGGTATCATACTTGACCTAGGCTAGAGTTTTGTTCAGCTTAATATCTTGTTGTAGAATATCCAGGCTATGTTACCAATCCTGGTTATGGCTGCAAAGAGCATCTCTGTAGGGCACCTGGTCTCCAGACTCCAGCATCAAGCATAGGATGACAGATATGCATGCCTCAATGACTGCAAAATTGGCCACAGAAACAACCATAACCAAGGAGTGGTTCAATAAACCATGAGATAAGGTGGATTATATGCACTATGTGCAGACTTGTGAAGCTTGAATATAATTGAATATATTCATAATATATTCATATTCTGAGCCCAATTATGATTATGAATATGAATACAATTATAATATGCTCCAGCAGAGAGAATATATTATGAATATGAATAAATTATGAAAATTTCGTATTCATAATCATAATTGGACAGCACTAGTTGGTGCAGACGTCGTGCTTCCCGCCGGACTCGAAGAACTCGATGCCCTTGGCTCCGTCGAAGGAGATGCTCCGCGCGGTCCGGCCCTGGCCGAGGAGGATGCACTGGCCCGACTTGCCGTCGGAAACGGTCTCGATGACGCCGCCGGTGCAGCGGGCACCGGCGTGCCATTTCAGCGTTGTTGCGCCCGCGCTGCCGGCAGCGCATGCGATAAGGAGCGAGGCGAAGAGGCTGGTGAGTTGCATTGATATCTGGAAACCAGGGTAAAAAATTAGTCTGTGTAGAGCGGGATGAGGATGACGACTTACCTGTGAGTAGGCTGAGCAGAACAGGAAGTGGTGGTTTGCGGACTGTACATGCTAGCCGCGCTTTTATCCAACTTGAGCTGGCGATAAGTCAGCATAATCGTGTCCAGCAGTGGAAAGCGGAAGTGACTCCCGCCGTTTCACGTGCCTGACCTGATACAATGGCCGCCCGTTTGTATGCTAGGCTGAAGCATGAGCGCAATCGTTCGGCCGTTTGCAGCTGCAATAATACTGCGGCAAGCACATGCAGATTGGATTCGCTCCCGCCGCGACAACCGTTTGCTTGTGAAGACCCGCGGCGGGAAATGCCTCCTAGTAGTACTGGTCAATTAACGTGCTCTGCGTAAATGAGGGGATAACAGACCACATCAGTAAAAGTGTCAAAAAGTCTTTTAGATCTTTAGTCTTTACAGCAGGTCTTTGGTCTTGGGGAACAGATCTTTTCAATCTTTGGTCTTTGGCCAGCAGTCTTTGGTCTTGGAAAGCAATCTTTGGTCTTATTCTGCAATGATCTTTGCAGTCAACAAACCCAAATTTTTTTTGTATAGGTGTGAGAAGGTGAGGAGTATATCATAAGTCAATTGGTTAGGAAGCTCTGCAGTTTTAGACATAATCAAAAGGCCTTATTGCAACTATTGAGCTGTAAACTGTTTTCACAACTCCCAAGTCATCCATCAAAATAGGGCCCTAATGTTCCATCATGTTGCCATGTGAATGACAGATGGCTGATCGCTGTCGGCAACTCATCGCCGTTTTTCTTCCTTCCTTTTCCCCTCATCTCCCGCCCCATAGGCACCCTCCTATAGCCTCAATTCCACTCCTCAACGCTCTGCCACCTCAATTCCATCAATACACAAGGCTTTCCCCCTCAATGGCAAGTTTTCACGCCTGACAGAGCAACCAAGGCTGCAAATGCACTCTCAAGCATCACTCAGCAACGACTTGTCCCCCACCTCCCGCAAGCAATTCTCGCCCGTTTCGCCCCATTTTCGGAGGAGCGTCCGGGACGCCCCTCCGCTTCCCGAAGACCGAAGATCGAGCTCGTCACTCCCGCCGTTCCCGCTCGTCGGCCGATGTACCGGCCAGACTGGGCCGAAACTTGTCCCGCTCATCCTGCGCCCGTTTCTGGGCCGAATCCCACCAAAGTCTACCCACCTCTCCGTCTCTCCCTCCGTTCCCAACGACGCGAAAACGGCGGCCAACGACCGACGCGTTCCCGCCCGCCACAGCTTCCTATTTCCGGCTTCCCTGCCTTACCATGCCACCAATTTTCGGTCCTTTCGCGCCAAAACGCAGGATTTGGCGCAGACGGGTTGCTCCTGCAATCCGTGAAGGTTTCAGCCCAAACGGGCCAGCGGTTGTCTCCCGCTGACCCGCCCGCCTCTTCTGTGTGCCTCACGTTCGGGGTTGGACTGGCCGAAGCGCTTGCGTTTCGGTCAATGATTCCCGGCCCTGGCCCACTACAGCAAGAGCTGTAGTGTGAGCGTAGTTATCAAATTGTATTAGCTATATTGAATTTATTGCTTTTATTCACTCTTTGCATTGCATCTTTGAGAGTCTTAGCAGGTCTTAAAGCAGGTCTTAATTGCGTCTTTTGGGATCTTTGGGAAAGATCTCAAGTCTTTCCCAAGACCAGGACGCTGCTGGAATAAGACCCAACATCTTTTGCATCTTTCAGGTCTTTTAGGTCTTTTTGGTCTTGCCCAAAGACCTAAAAGACCTGAAAGACTTTTGTGCACTTTTACTGATGCATGGATATCACAGCGGACGTAGGCTAACTGTCATATGGGGGCAGGGGCAGGCCATGACATTGCAACCAAGGATGGCTTGCGCCTGGACAGACTCGCCCTCGACCGCCGCAAAGTCGCTTGTAGCCGCCAAACTATACAGTCGCTTTACTCGCACATTTGATGCGTTCCCGAATGCATCCGCGCTCGACAACTTCGCGCACAGAGAGTCTTGGCAACCAGTGCTTCCGAACCGCACAACGACAAGAGTGACCTGTCCGGCGCTAGGCCTTAGCGAGAATCTTCAGCCAGTGTTACATCAGCTAGT